CAACGACGAACCGAGCAAAAAGAACTTATCCGGGTTCTTTTCATCTATTCTTACCTCTACCAAATCTTCCACCACTTTTTGATCAGCTGCTCTGCCGACATCTGCGAACAGTTCATTACTCTCAGGTTCTTCCATCGAATGAACATATCCCTTGGCAGCACGGCTGCCATTAGCCGTGACAAAGCATTGTTTAGACATAATTTGGTCTCCAAAGACCTCTTCAATTATACCAACTTCGTTGGGGAACCGCATTACTTGATGGTAGGATGACGCCACAGATCGCATGGCATGCAGCCACATTCTTTCCAAGATTATGTTGTAAGTGGAAGGGACTTTTAACACCCAAAACTCCACTTGTTTTGTCACGCTTCATGCCCTGACTGGAAGAATGATTTTGCCGACTAGCTATTCTGGCATTGAGTTGAATCCAATCATGGGGGATACAGCCGGTGCTAGGTCTTCGTCCTTCAATTTCAATTGTTTGAAGGTGTCGTAGTACATTATCTCACACGAGCTGCCTTGGTCTATCAGAATTCGTTTGACGTCATAATCTTTGATGCGGAGGGTGACGACTAGTGCATCGTTGTAGGGGCAATATATTCTTTCCAAGTCCTTGTCTGAAAAAGACATGACGTTCGTGGCCTCTGTTCTCCCCTTTTTGATGGTAGGTTGGGCACTTAGTACCTCCCTTAAGTGCTCAGCCTTCTTGATCGATCCTCTGAGCTCGCATACATGCTCAGGTTCGAATACCCTATGCAACACATTGATCACACCTTGAGGTGGGGCGTCAATTGGCATTCCATTGGGGTTATTGTGGTCCTGGGGGGCTGGTTGCGTCCCTCCTTCAATGTATTTATCCAGGTGACCGTCTGCCACCAACTCCTCCAAATGCTGTCTCAATGGCATGTAATTTTCAGTGCGGTGGCCCTTTTCTTTGTGAAAGGTGCAACGCAATCTTTCGTCATAGTCTTTCTGTGCTTCTCCTAGCTTAGCTGGCCATCTGACGAAAGGCTCATCGCGTATTTCACTCAGAATCCGATAGATTGGTTTCTTGAATACCATGGTTATGGCAGTATGGATTCTCAACCATCTTTTATCCTGGTCTTCTCCGTTGTCCCGCCTGCCTCGTCCGTTTTTGTTTAGACGTTCTACCGCGTTGATCTTTGCTGTGGTCTTTTTATCTGGTACTGCGGTTGTGCCATATTTTGTTTTGGCACGGGCGCCATCCTCTTCCACCCTGATGTGCTGATGTACTCTTTCCATCAAGGCCTCCATGGTGAGGGGTGGTGTCATGGTGATTGAGTCCCTTAGTCTGTTTCCAACTGGAAGGCCTCTTTTGTACTGTGCGATGGCGAGATTGGTGGGACAGTCCCCAATCTCGTTGAATGTCTCCCAGTAGCGACTATTGTAGGATCTTAGTGTCTCCTTTTGGCCCATGTCGATGGAGAGTAACTGGTCAATCTCCACCGGGGTTTTGGTGTTCGTTTTGAACCTTGTGACGAACGCCTCTGCCAATTGCGCCCAGGAGGCTATGCTGCCTTCTGGAAGTTTTTCGAACCAAGTCAAGCCTAGGTCACCAAGGCTTGATGGGGAGATGATGCACATCAAAGCCTCGTTTCGCCGATATACCGCCATAACCTGGCGGAAGTGGCTTAGGTGAATGTAACGGTCCGTCTTCCCTTCGTACGTGGTGAATTTTGGTTGAAGGAAACCTGAAGGAAGGGAAGCGTTTTCAATTGCCGGAACGAACGTCGATGTCTGCAGCCTTGCTAATGCTTTGTCCGTTGGTTCGTAGGCAGGGCGTGGCGACGGCATTCCGACCTCGACGTTTCCATGCGTCCGAGGAGCCAACCGCTAAAGGGCAGATACCCTGTGAGGGTTGCGCGCCCTAGTATCCTCCTTCCGTCGTGCCTTTTCTTCCAACATGTTCCGCAAATCGGATGATCTTGGTAACTCCATCTGCCTGGATGATGTTTGGTGCGAGCGTGAGGGTCGATAGGTACTTCTTTCCGTGTAAGACCTCAATGATCTTGTTCTTTTAGACCTGGAGAAACAAGTTCTGGTGGTTCTGGATTGAGTATCGCCTGTTCTGAGGCTTCTACTCTCTGCTTGTGATGGCGTGGAATGCCTTCCACGGTCTTCTGAGCGGCGAGGGGGCGTCTTGCTTTTGCGTCCCTCTCCTGTCGCCACTCTTTTTCCCTTCATCTGGCGCTTCATGGCCTCCATGTCCGCCGTCATCTTCCTTATTAACTCATCTTGCTCCTTCACGCGGTCTTCCAGAACTTGAGGATCAATCCTCCGCCTTCGTCTATCAGGACTTTGTGAATGAGAGTGACGGGGGCTGTTAGTCCGCCTCCTCCCCCTTGTATCCCTCCTAGGATTTTGTCGCTATGGCTCTAAATCCGCTATGGGAGGGATAGAAGGTAGGCCTTCGCGTCTTGCACCCCCCTCCGGTGTTTGTCCATCGATGGCGGACTGGGGCAAATCTTCGTTGTGCGCCATTGCTTCTAAAGAGGAAAAGCTTGTTCAAGAGGTTTTGTTCTTGTCTAAATTCCCACAGACGGCGCCAATTGTACGGGAAAGAACTAAACCTTCTCGTATAATCCTGTTGATCAAGTCTGCGCTCCTCCAAACGTCGTCACTTTACTCCCTGAAAACACAAACGTGAGTTAGTCGGCGGGTGTGTGCCGGAAACCCCTCCGATGCCTAAGTCAGGAAAGTAGACAAAGACAAAAAGCTCTGTGTATTTAAAGATCAAAGTAATGTGTTCCCTCTCCAAAGGTGATATTTGTGAGCTTTTATAGGTTTCGTGTGGCATAATCCAAGTAGGACTTTTATTTCTCCATGCAGAGTCCTCCTAGGATTCATACTCCTGAAGGATAATGCTTATCTTTCAACACCTCCCTCACTGCTTAAACCAAGTGAGATGGTTTTACCATGGCCGGACTACCATACGACCGAAATAACATTGCCACACTAGACTAACTAGAGTGACCGATTTAACTGTTAGTTCGGCTCTTCCTTGCTTTTCTCCTACCTCGGCTTTGCATACCAAGACCGAGCTATCTGCAGAAGAGTTGGACCGAGCTAACCAAGAACAAAAGTCCCGAAGAAGGCTAGGTATACCTCGGTTAAAGATTACGATCGGGCCAACCAATTTGACCGTGGCGACCGAGATAACAAAAAAGCCTTCTTGGATCGAGCTAATGAAAAAAGCCATTTTACTCTGCCTTTCTTACTACGGCCCAAGGCGGCCCATTACCCAATCTCGGCCCAATTTATTTATGTAAATTACCCTCTCAAGAATCTTTATCTATTTACTCTCCGTTTGTTTGAACGAGAATTTTTTTTTCTCATATTTTTTAACATTTAGTATGATAGTAAATGAAAGTGAATGAAAATATTTTTCGTTTCATTGAAAAACAAATTTATTTGAAGGAAAAAGATTTTTGTACTATTGACAAGTTAAAAAATATTTTCCAAACTGATTGTTTATCAATGTCGCTACAGCTATGACCCGCATCTGCGTACTAGTTTTCAAAATCACAACTAAATATTAATAAATAAATAAAAATTGAAAACATTTTAATAAATAAAATAAAATAAAATAATTATTTTACTCTGAAATTCAATTTTCGTTTTTTTGTTTTTTTTAAAGAAAAACAAAAACAAAGCCTCATAACAAGTCCCTCAAACCACGTCACCTTTACGTCAGGTCAAACTCGTACAAGGAGAGATAAGTGAAATTAAGGTTTCATTTGTCAACTATATATATTAGTCAAAAAGTTACTATAAGTTATCATATTATTTTCTCTATTTTTTTCATACATTTTCATAAAAAAATTAAAAAATTACTAATATAATCTATTCTCAAACGACACCTAAACTTGAATCACCCAAAACAAATGTTCCAAAGAAGCCTTTCAAATCACCAAAACCAACAACAATTGAAATCGAATCCGAAGAAGTGAAACAAACCTCGAAGCCTTTGAAATCACCAAAACAACGACAACCTCACAAAGTCGGAGTCTCAGTTCGTGAAATATCAGCCGCCAATCGAAAGAAAACTGTCAAAGGTATAATATGTGTCTGTCTGCTAAGTTATTGTTCTCATTATTGGATTTTCAATTACACCCTCGTCTCTGGCTTTGTGTAATTTTGTCCATAATAGTATGATGGAATGGAATAAAAAATTAACAAAAAAAAAAAATTATGTATGCAAAGAAATCTTTTTCTGTTAGCTTGGTGCCATGAAAATGCGGTATCTACCAAATGAACTTAATTTTGCAACTCATAAATGCAGTTGTAGCAAATAATAATGTTCTAATGATCACATTTTATTTATTATTTTATGTGTCAATACTGAGAATATACATGAGTATGGAGTGTTAGTTTCCACTTTGTACTTGTAGACTAGATTGCTTTGAGAGGTTAAATTGGGCATGTCTTGCAGAGTCTCATAGATACATGTGTTGAGAGTGCAGGCAAATTACATGGATCAAATTTTGGCATAGTTATCATATATGAGGTAGTAGTCTCGTCTATTACCAATAATTTCAATCTCAATTTGGATTTTAATCATCTTCTATGAATTGTGTTTTGTTCAATAATTTTTGTTTTATTTAGTAGTAATTCACCATGAAGCACAAAAGGGGATGCAACCAAGTATATAGGTAGTATGCAATGTTTTCACCTTTGTATCATTTTTAATCGAAATGTCATGTAGTCGAAACTCTAATTTGAAAGTAGACTCAAGCTTCACCACTTTCTATTTTTATTTTTTTATGTATGTGAATTTGCCGAATCCATTCTAAATAGTGGACTGATCTTTCTCCATTTCAAATAAGGTCTATTTTGATAGATAGAGATAGGCATGAACTAAGCGATAAGAACAAAAAAACCAAAGGTTTACTCTCATTTTTCTTTACTCTATCTATGATGGCTGTGAAAGAATTGTTCATAATTAGGAGTCATGACCAGAAGTGTAACTAAGCGCCACATTATGAATAAATGGCAATCTAATATTATGAAACTTGAATATATTACAATTAAATGAAAAACTGATTCATACTTTTATCTGATGTGCTTAGACTTTAAATCCTAATTAGTGAAACGGTGTCTAAGACAAGACGATTCTTGATTGCTGTAGATTATCTGAGACAAGAATATTTGAATTTAATTGCACCATTTTGTGATCTGAAATCATAGATTGGGGACTCACACCTCCGTGGCTCATAATTCGGTACATTTTCTGCCCACAAGTAGTGAAATTTCTCAGGTTTCTTGTGAACTCCTGTCCTCTGGTGGTGAGGGTAGCCTTGGAACAGGTAATCAGTTGGATTGAAGACTGGGTGGTCTTTCGTTGATGGGTTGAAGATCTTGTGTTCTTTTGTTGATGGATCGAAGACTGGTAGTTCTCCTTTTGTTGACGTCCTGATAGCCCTCAAACAATTCTCAATCACACTGGCCTCTTCTGAAAATCTGGCTCTGAGATGGCTTATTCGTTGCTTGATTTTTCGAGACCTCGAGTTCTGTATAGGAAATGATCCCTTGATTTTTGCATCTCGAGTGGCAGGACCATTGCAGGTTGCATATCCTGTTCTGTTGCACTCATTGCAGTTGCTGTTCTGTCTCTCCAAGTTAAACTCTGCTCTTCTTGCATTATCAGAAAGACATGCATATGCCTGCCATAAACAGTGTGTTTCTCAAACACGGGCCTATTTCGTGTTGTTTTTGTTTTATTCATTTTTCATGATTTTGAAAACTAAAACAATGAAAAGTTCGAAAATACCAATCATCTTCAAATAAGATGGGTTATTTTTCAAGATGCAAAAAAAGTTTAAAATGGGTTATTTTTGAAAATGTGTTTGACATAATTTATTTGAAAAAAACAGGCCTGGAGTCTTTATCTTTAACTGTTCCCAACCACCAAATCAAAAATTTGGTGTGTCCAATCATGTACCATCATATATCATTTTCATGATTGCATACTAGCTTTTCTTCTTTGCCATATTTATGGATTATTGATTGAATATAATGCATATGTATGTATATAGTGCATAAACCTACCTCTGAGACAAGCTTGAAGGCAATTTCGGCTTTGGGATGCTTGTTCTTATCAGGATGAAGTTGTAAAGCTGACAACAAAACAGTCTTCTTCAGCATTGATGAACTAAAACAGTCTTCCCTTTTTTTGAAAAAAAAGCCTCGGTCACTTTGGATTCATTTTAACTACATGTATAAGTTAAGTCCGAATCCAAAACAACCAAACATTGCTCAAAACGTTCGAATTTATTCACCCCTTACAATTGGGTTGTCAAGGTACCTCCCAGTGCATCAGAAAAAAAAGATTGCTAAGAATGCCCTAGTTTACTGCTCATCCCAAATACTTTTGAAATTGGATTATCTAAAAGACTTGGAAACGCCACACATTTCACTTCTAATGAGCGACACATTCACTTGTAAGAGTGGAACCCGTGATTGCAAACTTATTTTATACTAGTGAGTATCACACGCAATGCGTATGCAATTCAAATAAGTATAAAAATAAATAATAAAGAAATTAATATCATAATATGTATGTTGTCTAAATGGTAAGAATGTTTTTAATGAAACTTAAAGTTTTGGATTCAAATTTTACTTACGCCTTTGAATAATATTTTTTTTATTTTAAGATAGGAAAATTTGATACGCTACCGAAGGAGAAGCTACTACACTATTAGACATCAAATTACGTGCTCACATATATAATACTAGCGATTGTCACACGCATCGCGTGTGAAGTTAAATAAATAAAAATAAAATAAAATATTTATTATATATTCATTTGACATAAGTCTAAGATTCAAGTTTTCTCCTCTAAACAAAGGCTTTATGACACCACAAGAGTGTTTACTTTATAATAGTATACATATAGATATAGATAGCAACAATGATTCATCCCACTAAAAATATCACCACTAATAGCACTAATGCATTAAAAAAGTAAAAAAAAAAAAAAAACACAACTCCAAGACCAAGTGTGAAGTTAAATAAATAAAAATAAAATAAAATATTTATTATATATTGTGTTCTACTCAAGTGGTAAGAGTCTTATTCATTTGACATAAGTCTAAGATTCAAGTCTCCTCCTCTAAACAAATGCTTCATGACACCACAAGGGTGTTCACTTTATAATAGTATACATATAGATATAGATAGATAGATAGATAGATAAAGATACCAAATCATGTGCTGACATATATGATATGTATAATAGTATAGATGAACAAAAACATACCTAGTTTACGGTATTGCTTCCTGATCACATCCAACCCTTCATTTTCTTCAACCTACCAAAACCCAAGAGTTTAAAAACAAAATCAGTAACTCAGAATTTACAATTGGAAAGGAAGACATGTTTGAAGAAAAAAACGTACTCGAAGAACAAGGAACCAGTCGATGAAAGGTGATCCGGTGGGGTTGCTGCGACCACTGCCATGAGCACACGTGATGGCGCGTTTGGATAGGTTGCAAATCTCTGTCACCAACTGGGACTTGAGATCTGGTTCTTCTTCTCTGATTCTTCCCATTGACAAATAGATGAAAGAGAGAGATATTTATATTATACACACAAACTTACATACAATCCCATATATATGTCTTTTGTGTTTGTGTTTGTGTGTGGATGTTGACTTGATAGACACGCATGTTTGTGCTTTTAAGAAGAGCTTAACGTGGTGGAGCGGTTACGCATTTTTGTGCTTTTAAGAAGAACTTAATGTGGTGGAGCGGTTAAGAAAACAAAGGGCACACTTTGCGGGAGAGAAAGTTTTTTGAATGTGGATCAGTTGGTGACATCTTTGCCGGCTATTATGCCAAAAAATTATGGGAGATTTTCAAAATAGCGAATAGATAATAAAAAAAAAATTACAAAAACATATATGGGATACAAGTGATTTTGTATGAAAGGTTGTGATGGTGAAAGTATGACTTGCACTCTTTTATATTTGTGTAAATTTTTTTTTTCTCCTATTAAGATGTAATATGAAATTGCAAAATAATTGTATGTCACTCAATACTAAACGGAAATATGAACACGTAATATTCTTAATATATCAAATAACTTCTCAGCTTGATAACTTTTAAAATCCTTCTTTTCTAATGTAATAAATCCAAATAGATTTTTAAATTGGGAAATGTTAACCACCACTTAATGGGCATGGTTAATGCTAATATATGAATAAAAAGTATATTGAAGAATCTCGTAGGATGTTAGCCCGATCCTAAGATGCCTCCAAATGGCTGCAATTAAAGGTTTAGCTCAACCTGTGTAATCTAGTTGGTGAAACCTATTATATATAATATAAGATGGCATACTCTCAATTTTGCTATTGAGAAGACGCAATTGGTGAATCAAACTCATTTATATTTTGTTGGGTTGGGTTGAGTTGGGTAGGGTTGGTGACTCCCCTGATGTAATATGTGTGTACAATTTTTATTACGATTTTTGATCCGATGAGATGTTGCACGTGAGCACGCCCCACATACTACCCATTTTGTGTTATGTGGTTTATCGACTTGGGTTGGGGTGCTATAATGTTGTATTTGATTGGGCAATTTGATGAGGAATTTAAAAAGAAAAATAAAAAAGGTAGGTAAAATGTGAATAAAATATACTTACATTTCACCTAATTTCATATATATTTTATTTTTTCTTTCTAAATCTCTCAATTAAACACAGCGTAAAATGGGAGTTGTTAAGGAGGATTTTTAGAAAAAAAAAAATGTCACAAAAAAAAATATAAAAAATAATAGTAGTAGAGAAATTGACCTATTTTGTGATGCAGGTTAAAATGTGTTTTGAACTTCTATGACAATTGTTAAAATGTATGAGTTCATTTTTGTAATAGAACTATCACATCAATTTTGGTATTTATTAAGACTGTAAAATAAAATAATTATTAGAACTCATAACGTGCTGGACTCTTGAAAAATTCTTTTAAAATTAATTCGTTAGGCAAGTAAGTCAAATTGAAACATATTTTTCAATTTTTTTTTGGGTAAACTATCACTAGGTCTTAATAGTTAAACTTAATTCTCATCAAGTCTTATTGAAAATAAGTCTTGGTAAAATTGTCGCTAAAAATAAATTTTTTGTGACAATTTTTTATATATGTCGCTAAAATTTGACAATTAGTGACTTTTTTTATGGTAAAATTTTTCTATAGAACCTATTAGACAATAAATCTATTTATTAAAATTTACACATAAGTACTTTTTTTTTTCAAGATACTTTATCCCAGGAGAAGAGGCTAATAATATCAAAACAAACAATGCATTGTTGAGTTCTAAAGTGAAAAACAAAAAATAAAAAACAGGTCATTACCTTTTCCTGATCTAGTTCAAATTTCATTATCATGGTAACTATTAAAACCTCTCAGATTTCAACTTGGACCTCAACCAATAAAATAGCTTCGGTCAGCCTTTCAAGTCTCACATGTTGTAACCAAATTATGAATGACTATAACCACTAGGTTAATTGGGGTAGTTGCAAATTTTGACGTCCATTGAGACATTTTAGGAAGTGGGTGGGCTGAATTAGCCAAGCAAATGGTAAGCCATATATTATCATTGTACCCTCCTTCACCCTAAATAATAATGCTTTTATGCAATAATATAGTTTTTGTTCACTTGTTACCATTGAATTCATATGACAATCTAATTTATTACAGAGAATGAAAAACATTAAAGGTTGAGTGGATATTGTGAGTTTGGATTTGAGTGCATATTGTGTTTAAAGACTTTTGCTGGAACAAATTTAAATTTATTAAAATAATCTAAATCATTAATCTTATAAAACATGCTAAACAAATCATTAATGTAAAAATTTTGAATGGTTGAATAACGACAATCACATAATTAAATAAAATTTGTTTTTACAATAAATTTTATCTTCAAAATAGAGTTCTTTCAATTTTTTTTAAGAACTACAATTAGACATCCACATGGTCATTTATAATCAAAATTTTTAGAAGAAAAAAAAAAACTATGACTGCTTACCTATTAGGCTATTACCTATTTTAGACTCTACTATAAAAAAAAATAAATTAAAAAAAGAAAAAAAAAATTTAAAAGCGCCTTTGAAAACTTGACCTAGTTTTTATTGTTGGGTAGAGGAGTTGACCTAAGGGAGCACCAATAAAGCGACTGGTGAACTAATGAACTGAACGAATTCGCAGTTTGAACCAAAGAAGCAACCCATTCAACACAGTTTTGGAGCCTTAGATGGTTGAAACTGGCTTAGCCTTCATGTGAGAAGTGTGGGCCCATCAGTTAAAAAGCCCAAACCACTGCAGTAGGCCCGTGATTTAGCAAAAAGTCCAAAACTCACCCGGCCCCACCAGCCTCAATTTCTCATGCCAGTCCATATGTATAATATATCCACCACCGTATCCACATTTTTTTAAAAATATAATAATAAGACTCTCTCTCTCTCTCTCGCCAATATGCTTAAATGACTTGTACGCATTAATGTTTCCTTTACCCAACAACACAATGCGTATACGTCCCTCGAAATGACCGCTCTACCCCCTCACTTTCAAATCCACTTCCGCTTCAATTGTTGCAATCAAAGGACATTATCGTAAATTCCTCCGTTCCCGGCTCCGTTATCCCACCGTCTTCTCAGACCTCGATACATTCTCTCTCCTCCCTCTTGATATACATCCGCATATATACTCACATATACATACACACATACATGCATGTATATATATGTACCATAAAGAACGCATATATCTTCTTCGTTTTCGATTCAACAATGCCCTAAATTGTGTCACATTCATGATTTTTTTGCCAATTTATTGATTTCAAGCTCGATTACTTCGATCCAGAACTGTACAAAATTGAACTTTTTTATCACTGATTTTTTAGTGATTTGATGGCGGCGACGACAATGGCGACGGCGGCGGGAGCGGTGGTGCTTCTGTACTACGTGCTGAGCCGGAGGCCTTCGGCGGCGAAGGGGGAAGAGGAAGGAGAGTACTCGAAATCGGGTAGATCTGTGGGGGTGAGGAGGAGGATTGCTTGGAGGCCAGCTCAGGCGCCTGCGACGTGGTTCGAAGCGATCGCGACGCTGTCTGATACTCTTAGGTTTACGTATTCCGAGACTTTAGGTAAATGGCCTATTGGAGACTTGGCTTTCGGCATCAACTATCTCATCCGAAGACAGGTATGCCATTTTTAGGGTTTCTACATAGTTAATTGTGTCCTTTTGCTTTTCTTTTCTTAATGTTTATTTTTTGTATTTCTGCTAGATTATGTTTTACTTACTGGCTCAAATATGCTAAAAGATGTATAAAAAAAAAAAATGTATTTTTTTTTTTTTTCTCTATATCTCATTTTTGTAGCTATAATCTGCTGTTTGATGATCACTGTGTTTCGTGATGTTGAGAATGTTGAAATTAGAAGTTGTGGCAATAGTCTTTAGATTGTTGAGCTTATCGAGCATCTGTATAAAAGTGAGTTGTCGATATAAATTCACTGATCTGGTTTGTGTAAATTTGAATTCTACATGAATTACTTATCTCTGCTACTATCAGTTATTGAATGGAATTCTACAACTTGTATGAATTAAAAAAATATGCAATATTGGTGATTGAGTAGAATGTACACGAACATTAATAGATATGCATGCTTTTAATTTCTGTTTCCATTTTGCCTTATTAATATGGTCTCAAGGCTTTGTAAATGTGTGACTGGGATGATACTAATTATGGTGTTCTTGTAGGGTAACGTACAAGTTGCAAGTTTGTATGCTGGAGATAATTGTGTACAACTCCGAGGCATGGAAATTATTGCTGAGTTGAACCAATATTTGAGGTTGTTAACCCTTTGCATGCTTTTCTCAAAGAAGCCATTTCCTATATTTTTGGAGACTGCTGGCTACTCTGAGGCAGATGTCCTTCTCCAGAAGCCCAAAGCAGGGGTAAGTCAATTGCTTACAACGGACTGCAGCATTAAATTTGAAAACATTCACCGCGTGTAGCAAACTCCACAGGAGGGAAGGAGGTTCTAACATTCTGTTTGCTTTTCTATGTAAAACTGAAAATGTTGCTTTAATTTATGCAGCTTCTGAAGCCTGCTTTTACAATTATATGTGATAAAAATTCAAAAAGTTTTTTTCTACTGATTCGGGGTACTCATAGCATCAAAGATACACTCACTGCGGCAATGGGCGCAGGGGTCCCTTTTCACCATTCCGTTTTACATGATGGTGGGATAAGCAACCTGGTTTTAGGATATGCACACTGTGGGATGGTTGCTGCTGCTCGTTGGATTGCAAAGCTTAGCACTTCTTGCCTTCTGAAGGCTCTTGATGAATATCCTGACTACAAAGTTAAGGTAGATATTACTTCTCAAATATGTAATAAATTCTTCTTGTTTTTGTTCTTGATTTCCTTCTGCTACTCTATATGCATCTGGCTGGATCTACTATATAGTAAATATTGCTTTCATGTAATAGGGAGAAATTACCTAAAATCTCAATGTCACTGCCAAAAGAAAGAGACACATGTCAGTAGTTGTATACCCCTTGTTGAATAGTGCAAAATGGCCTTGTTTGGCTAACTGACAATATCAATCAACTGTGAGGAACAAATACAGATGTTTTTTGTGGCAACTGATGGATGTTTTGATTCAACCAATTACTTCTGCGAAATTGTAATCGTTCAGTGGTTGGGAATGTCTTCTTCAATTTTATTGGGAAAATATCTTACTATTGGTCAGATTTGTAGGTTTTGTATGTATTTTATTCTTCTCATAAGTCCTATCGAAACTATAATTTTTTAATTCAGTTGCACTATATGCCTTACTGGTCTATTGCCCTCCTAACACATTATAAGGTTCAGGTCTTTAATTTGTAGGAGTTCATAGTACAATATTTCTTCACCTCCACATACATGAAACTAACATTTACTTATTCAATACAGATTATTGGCCATTCACTGGGTGGTGGTACTGCTGCACTGTTGACATATATTCTTCGAGAACAGAAACAGCTCTCCTCATGCACCTGTGTCTCATTTGCCCCAGGCATGTAATGATAAAAGTGGTGGTTAACTTCTTTTATTATTAGGATGGCAATTAACTGGTCACTTGCTCGTGTATTATTTTTTAAACTTAGGATAAAAATATGACATATTTATTGCAAGATAAGAAGCAAATGCATCTGAACTTTTTTGTAGTGTATGCATATGGAATATGAGGTCATGCTTGATGAAAAATTCCACTTCCCTGTTGGTTGTGTTCCAAAACCACAGCATAAATAGCCTCATAAGGCCTACTTTAAGGTTTCCAATAGGGAGGATTGCTAGAATGAAAATCCGCCTGGAGTTCTTAAAGACAAGTTGTAATTGGCAGTGTTAATTAGAGGTCATCTCCTTGCCTTGCATAGAAAGCTAGGATGAGGGTATACAAAGAGGAGTCTATCAGCTTGTGTCAAGTTTTTTGTCAGAGTGGATTCTATGGCTTGTTGCTCTTCCCTGATTCTTTACTACAATTGACACTTTGCAGCTGCCAGTATGACATGGGATTTAGCAGAATCTGGTGAGCACTTCATAACTACAATTATCAATGGTTCTGACCTAGTGCCTACATTCTCAGCTGCTTCTGTTGATGATCTTCGTTCTGAGGTACAGCATCCCTTTCTCCTGATCAAAGATTTTTTTTTGGGGGTATCGAAACTTTGTTCTTGATGATCATAATGTAATATGAAAAATTATTGCTTGAAATCTTAAAAGTCCTTTTTTATCATCAGGTGACAGCATCCTCTTGGTTAAACGATCTGCGGGATCAAGTTGAGCGCACGAGAGTCCTAAATGTTGTTTACCGCTCTGCAACTGCTTTAGGGTCTCGTCTACCATCGATTGCCACTGCAAAAGCAAGTGTTGCTGGTGCCGGTGCTCTACTGCGGCCTGTCTCCAGCAGTACTCAGGTAACTTCTAGCTAACTTTGTCAGGTGACGATCCTTTGAATGACAGTGATTATTAAATTTAAGGAGTCAATGTAGAACACAAATTTTGCTCAATTTCTAGGTGTCCATATTTGAAGAGGTGGTACATTGTAGCTCTGTCTGTGCAAAACACAAAAAGGGTACCATTCATTACATCAGACTGCTTAAGCACTTTTTTGAGTTCCCTATCATCAATGAAGGAAAATAAATGTTGTTTTCAATCTTAGCATGTGCTTAATTTTCCAATGTCAAAAAATGGAGGCAACCTTAGTATATGCCATGTGCTGTTTACTTTGTTCCCACCTTTCCATATTGCAACTTACAATTGCTGTTTGGTCAATTGTAGGTTGTAGTGAGGCGTGCACAGAATGTAGCTCAGGCTGTTGTAAGGTCCCGCTCATCCCTATCATCATGGTCTTGTATGGGTGCACGACGTCGTTCAGTGGGCCCTCTTTCAAATTCTAAAGAAGAAGATTTGTCAGGAGCTCCTCTTATAATTGAAAGAACATCCGAATCTCTTGTGGCTGAAGTGGTAACTAGACATCCAATGGTGGACAACATTGGGGTTTGTTCTTCAAGTGGTGGATCAGGGCACGATGACACAGATGAAGAGGAACATGGAGCGGTGGACACAATTATTACATCCCCCACAAAAGACATGACTGAAGGTGAGTTATGGCATGAATTGGAGAAGGAACTCCGAAGAGATGACCTCGAAGCTGGTGTCCGAGCCCAGGAGGAAGAAGCAGCAGCTGCAGTGATAGAAATTATTGAAGAGGAGAAGGTATTGGTTGATGCAGTGGAAAGCAAAAAGCCCATCTCTGCATCGGATGTTTCAGAGAGCCACCAGTTCTATCCTCCTGGAAGAATATTACATATGGTGTCTATGCCTTTGTCTGATTCCACTGATTCAGATCACGATGGACCTGTCGAGGAACACGTTGGTATCTATCATACGCCTAGAGATTTGTATAGTAAACTCCGACTCTCAAGAACGATGATAAATGATCATTTCATGCCCATGCACAAAAAGATTATGGAACGAATAATTAGGGAGCTGGAAAGTGATGAAGCTTGTAGTTGTACAACATGAAAAGAATACAAGACTAGTGAATTTATGCATTTGCAAAAAATGCCTTGTGTTAATAGAGATTTATATTTACTGTTTGGTTTGTGGTTGATATCACTTTTGAAGAAACACATGGGTTGTTGTTTGTACTAATAGTTGCAATTTATATACTAGAGAAAGGGAAGTTTTAACAGATTTTGGTTGAGTTAGATTTTAGTTGACTTGATCATATCGCTCAAGTGGCTATTATACGCTCAAGTTATACCTTTAGTTTTCAAATGGTTTGAGATTTTTGAGCTTATACAGAAGTGGCAAATGCTTGAGATTTGTTGGGAAGTGATGGTGGCCGAGAGAGACAGAAATTGTTTCGGAGTAATTGGACAATTCTGTGTAACAAATTTCTGCAATTTTTGTGATTTACATTCCTTTGAATAGATGAAATGTAACAATTTTTTTTGTAAGTGATTCCAATACAACCTGAAAGGTGGGAATGAAATTTTTGAGCCCTAACCATACACGCAAGGTGCAGATAAAGGCTTCCAAAAATTGACGGACAAGTCCACCTAGAAGTAGGGATGACCCGCTCGTCATTTTCCTGATCAAAGAAGATGTGTTCGTCAATAATAGGTGTTGGTACGACTAGCCATCTCTATAAAGTCATCGACTAGTCATCTACCACCCTCGACAGCACAGGTTAACTCTCTTTTCTATATGTAATCTCTATATGTAATCGCCTAGTTATATGCACACACCGCCCCCCTCATTCGTCAACATTTTTGATGTGGGATCTACAATTATTACTTCCCTTCACAGACTTACATAATTTTTAATCTCCATTTGGCAGACACGACAATATAGATTTGGGTTTTGGTTTAGGATTTATGATTTGTGGAGTAAAATAAATTATAGGAATTTGTGGAAATTTTTAAATTTTCCGTTTCATTCATCATTGTTCTCTTTCTTTTTAATTTCGTTCTATAAATTTTAAATTCGAATCGAACACAGGCTAAAGGAGCTGGAGAGGCTTGGGATTTGGCAAGGGGATTGGTGTCGAACTTGGGCAGCCCATAGCAAAGCCAAATGTTTAACAGGTTTATAAGCCCGATTAAAACAAAAAATTGTTCACCCTATCAATAAGACCACACAGAAGGGGATGCGAATGGATGGGACCACCGTTTCCACCCACACCATGATTATTACTTTATTGATTTAGGAGCACCATATCAACGTGCTGAGTTAGGATCATGGGCAACTGAATAATTACCCGACTAAAATTATAAGTTGTGGGTGATTTTGGTCACTAAATCAAACTGAATCCGAGAGGAACCTACTAGGTAAATTGGATTTGAATTTAGCTTTGCAAGTTCTAAGAGATCGTATCAGGGTGCAAGGTTTGGGCTTTTGCATCATGGATTATCTTTGCTTCCATGGCTGTCTTCAATTCCCATCTTTTACTGCTGGAAATTTATTAGTAATTCTCAGCATTCATATCATACACCATCAAGACAACACACAAAAGGATTCAAAATATTTGATATAACTAGCAAAGAACTTGCAGCACTTTCCCATCTGCTTCTAGGTAAACAATTAGAGTGCTTCAAATAACAATATTCCAAATGTACTCTCCCACTCGGAGCCAATCAAAATAATAATAATAATCAGCAAGGTGGTCTTTCAGATCTTCCAGTTCCCCACCTAATTTTTTTGCCTGTTCTTGAGCCAACATGAATGCAGGTTTGAGCAATGTCAAGTCCAAAAAGAAACCAAGCCTTCAAGGCTACCAAACAGACGGTCCATGGACTTGTTATTGTCAACCGCTGTAAATGGCCTTTATTGATTCCGGAGGCTCCTCTTCCATTATGCCTGAACCTGTTGTCACCAAGTACTCCCGGATAGTTGTTTTCCTGTCCCCAAGGAAAGTGTGATCTAGAAAGTTGTTGTAGGCTTCATCACCAAGATTCTTTGCTGCCAAAATACTTCAAAAGTATACACACCATCATGTTTAGTTCATGTACAACAGAGTAATTGGCATTTAAAGTAAAGCTAAGCTGATAGATGAGAAGCATTGAGGAAGAGGGGCCAATCATGTCTTGTGTTTCAAACTCTATCTGTTGCATATCATTTCCATATCCTTCAAAAGCAATAGTTTTAAGTATGATGACAAAGTAACTAGCACTTACCAGTGCCGAAGATAAAGACGGCAAGGTAAGATATCATCACGCCAGATCTTGTGAATGTTATATTGTCCATATCGCTGAAAATAGATTTCTTGACTTCCTGCAGAACAATAGCCAGCATAGTAGTATGAACCTCGCACATTCAATCATTCAATGCAATAGGATGGGAATCATTAGATATGGAAAAATGCATTGAAACATGTCTAGAAACAATGGAATACCGTAGGTCCGTAGATATAGGAGATTTCCTTGATCAAAGTTCTCAAAATTGATCATATTTTTCTCTTTAGATTTGGTTTGACCCAAGCCTTTGCTTGTACAATAAAATACTTAACTCAAATTCCAGGACTACTGGAAATAGATATCAAAAAGTAAAAACTTGATTGCTTTGCAATCACTTATAGCACTTCGTTGTGCAGCATCCTATTGTCCAAAACCAAAACATTCGATTCCTTGGATCCTCAAAATGAACATTTTCAATTTCATCACTACTAGATAGAAACCTACTAGCCAAAGGTATCAGATTGGCACCACCACAACTCCTAATTGAAGGTTAATTAAAGACCAAAGCATTGTCTGAAACAAGAACAGAGCTTTTCCACATAACTCACTGGAGAGAGAAGAATAGAAGGGCCAGCTCCAAGAAAAATAAGCACAAAAAAGGTTCTACAATGTCAGAACCGAAAACTATCAAACTTGAAAACACAACCGTTAGAGCAATGTCATGCAGTGCTGGCACTGCTAAGACAAAATCATGGATTCATTTTTCTTGACCAAAGTGACCAGAGGAACTCAGGGTTGACTTTTTACAAATTAAAATCATAAAACAAAGAATAAATAATTAAATCGTGGATTCCTTTTTCTCCCAATCATATATTAAGTGTAAGTATTTTGAGGTTTATGCAGTCCTTGATTCATTTTCAGAACAAGCAGCCTCACTTCAAAGTATTTTTACTGTATTTCATGTGCTCAAATCTTTTTGAGAAACACAAAACGATGAATTAAGGTGCTAGAAAGTAAAATAAAAACTATCATTCTCCTTAATTGTGCTAACACTGGCTGGCCAACATCTACGTTTGTTTCATATTCTCAAGGAAATTACCAAATAGAGATTTGCAGAGGGAATACCTTTGCATCTAATTTGGAGATATTCCTCGTCACTAAAACGTGCACAAAGCACCTACATCAATACCCAAACCAGTAGTCATCAGACTTACTTGAAAGCACACCACTACAAAAGGAAAACAAAACATTCCAGGGAAAATCAAAACAATAACAGCAAAACAAATTGACCAATTTCACACACAGCTGGACTTGTAAACAGCTTTCCATCAAGTGTTTCAGGTAGGACCTGCATGAGAAACATTTGAATTTACAATTGCACTTTATGCATGTCTGTAAAAAAAAGAACAGAAAAATTTGTAATACAAATACACAGATACAATGACTCAACAACAAAACGCCTTACAGCTAAAAACCGAAACTCGTGCTCCCTCTGAAGAAAAGAAGGAATCTGATCACATGAAGAAACTGATATCTCAGTTTACAATCATTGTTAAGGTTTAGAACTTCAAAATAAACACGTTCACAGATTTTATACCTCTGATTTTTTAATGCCAAAAACAGTAACAATAAGGGTTTCACCTTCACATGGCTCCACGCTTAAACTTGACATTTCCTGAAAAATATATGTATATACAGTTTGCATCAACACATTCAAATCCAAGTTTATCCCTAAAAATAATTAACAAAATGGAAAAATGTCCGTTTGGCTGCGAAGTGAATTTCCAATCCTTCATTTTTTTCCATCAAATTTGGGTAGAAAATTGGTTAAAAGCTTTGATTTGATATGGATGCTCCAATAGCATTTCATCAAATTTAACTAAAAGCTTGATTTGGTGAAAAAATTTAATGCTCCAATCCTCACTTAAAAATTTCATCAAATCCTTTTAAAAAATTCCAAACTTATCCCCAAAGGCTTCTTTCATCAAATTTGGTATAAAATAAAAGGAACTTGTTTTTGCCTTGATTTGATGAAAATTTTGGTGAAAACTTGATTTGATACAAGCTGGTGAAATGATTGGAGGTCATTTTCACCAATTTTTTCATCAAATTTAACTTTGATCAAAAATTGGGTGAAGGGTTGGAGATGCTAATGAAAACAAAATATCATTTTTTTACTCTAAAACTTCTCAACTCTTTTTGGATTTAAGACAAAAACGCCAATTAATTGATTCAGTTAAACACTTTATAGGACCATCTCCAATGGTTACTCAAACCTTTCATCAAATTTGAATTTGATGAAAAATAAGTCCTTTTTTCTCCAACAGTTGCATCAAAAGATATCAAATTAAAGATTTCACTTTTCTTTTATCAAAGTGAGGACGCTGTTTCTTTTATCAAATCATTATTTATTACTGTTGTCGGATGTCCTCCCGGTCGTCACCGGATGACCACCTCAAGTCAAAAATCTGTGAAAAAATTATACTGGCCAGTCGATCGATGGCTTGATGCCAAAACTCTCCGTTAGAGCACATGATATCAAAGGAAGCTTTTATTCAAATTTTTACTCACATTTGATAAAAAAAATTGATGCACCGTTGGAAATGCAGTAAACAAGCAGTTTTATTTTCTTTCGCTTGCTCAGCAAGCAAACAAGCATCGCTAAAACATAAAAAACAAAACAACCTTTGTTTGAGGATTGGCGATGCCTCGATCGAAAAAAACCGGAGCCACATGAGCGAAGATGCGACGAAAGCCGTTCAATCTGGCGACTCTGAAGTTGATCAATTCCGGAAATGTACTCCTCGCACTGCGCTCTGTACAATTTACAAATCGGCATCACAAAACAAAACTAATACTATTAGTATTAGTATTAACAACAACAAACATTCATGAAGATAACGACGACGATTGTAATTTGTACGTACCGGAGAGGAGAGAACCGAAGCCGCAGATGGTGAGGAGGCCGTCGGGGGAGATGATTCTTTCGAAATCGGACTCGTCATTGAGTTCAAATGGTAGTCGGAGATCGTCTCCGGAGTACATGACGATCGCCGGAGATACGGAGGCGATCGGATCTACTTGCTAAGGGTGTGGTTGTCAATCAGTAATGGTTGGCTGTAATCTTCAGTATCTGAATTCGAGTTGCGTGTGTTAGTATAGTTTTTAGGCCTTCTGTTGGCGTTGTTTGTAATCTTCAGTATCTGAATTCGAGTTGCGTGTGTTTGTTCAGTATGGACACGTGGTGCTCCATAAGGTTTTGATTGGTGGAGATACAAGAACTCATAATTTATGTTGGATATGGGAGGATAATATGGGACTAACTAATTGTTGATTGGTTTGGAGTATGGACACGTGATGCTCGGGAGTATTGAATAATTTTTCTTATTTAGTTTTTAGGCCTTCTTTAGGTGTTGTTTGGCAACAAGCCAATTAACCAGTTTATTGGTTTGTTTGTGTCGTATCAATTCTCTATTTTTTTATATATTTTTTTTAATAAAATTAAAAATTAAAAATTAAGCATTAAAAATAGAATATTAAATTTTTTAAGTTGAATACGCCTCTGATAAAAATTTAAATATTGAATTAAAAATAATTTATTTAATATATATAAGATTAAGCTCTGGCATTATTTAAAAAAGATTAAAAATTAGAAAGTCGTTAAAAAAGTTTAAAAAAAATTAATACTTTGGGCGAGAAGGTTGTGTCTGACAACTTAGACTTTGCATTGCATTACGCAAACAATGACGTCAAATGCAATGACACTTTGCATTATATTTCTCCAAATGCTACTGACGTGGCCCAATGTAAGCCACGAATTTCATAGAAAGAAATAAATTGAAATACACGAAAAGCTCAATAGTGCTGTTGCATGTGTCAGAAGAATATAGAAATTGTAATCATTTTTTAAAAGTAATATTTATTATAATATTTTATTATATATATATATATATATATTTTTTTTTAAAATTAAAAAGTTATTCTAAACATATATTTTCTTTTTTCTACTTTTTTTTTTAATTAAAATGTCAAAAAGTACACTTATATAGCACATTCCAAACAATCTCTTTTGAAATTTATTATTTTTAAATTATATATTTTAATTTTAATATTATGATGGTAGTGATGGCGGCGGCGGCATGGTCAGTGTTTTAAAAAGTTCTAGGCTCATTGAGGTGCTAAGGTCTCTTGGAGCTCAAGCGTGAGGCGCAAGGCGAGGCGTGCATCTCATTGAAGCGAGGCACAAGTTGTTAAAGATAACCAAAATATTAATATAGGTAAGTTTTTAACACAAAACAAATATTCTTATAATTTCAAAAAAATAAAATAAAAAGAGAACGACATTCAATATTTCAAAAATTATAAAAAATAACATTCAGCATTTCAAAATTTTATCAAAAATAATATTCAATCTTACTTTGCCCTACACTATTTATCTTTTTTTTTATCAATTTATTAACGTTATTTATTTCTTTTTTTAGATAAAGAACTCACACCATATGATACCTTAATGGTTTTAATTTTAAATCGAAACCAAATTGCTTGATAGTTTCAATCATTCGTCCGAAACTATTATAATTTACTACATTGAAAGAAATCCCAAAGCCATATATTCATCTTACAATCCCAGAGCTTGTGCTTAATGCTTAGAACTTTTTTTGATATAAAAGTTGGAACTCAAAGTATGTGTTTATATTTTATATTAAAAGGGTTGTAATTCCATATGATTACACACACAAAGAATAAGGATGAGGTCAAAATTTAAATGAAGCGCATGAGGCGTGCATCTCAAGCGCCTCAAATGTACCTTTTCTACTGCTCCTGGCCTCAAGATGTTTGAGAGGCCTCAGGTGCACCTCGCACCGCTTAGGCGCTTCTTTTAAAACACTGGGCATGGTTGTAGTAATGATGCAGTGATTGTGACTTTATAATAGTATATATTTATGCTTAATATTTATAAATTCACTTAGAATTAAATAAATTTCATGACTTAAAATTTATCAATTGTAATTATCAAACGAATTTAATTGATTATCACTTAATACTTTCAATTTTAAATGTTGAATCAAGTTATCAAATACTCCATCATTAACTTTCTTTTTTATTTATTTTTTCTCCTTTCATTTCCTTGATTTGTCCTCCATATTCTTCTATGATATTTTGATATTTTCATTCACTGCATGCACCAATTTTCAGATATGGTAAAAAATTCAGAACTGACTTGTTTATGTTGAATTCTAGTTTCAATTTTGTCTCCGTCATGTAGATTCTAAAATCTTAATCCCATTAATCCCATTAATTTCATTTTCCCATCATATTCAAATAAATAAACTCTATTTCCAATCCCATAATACACTTCATCCAGCAATGAAGTTTTTCTCCAAATGTCACAATTCACCATCACTTCGGCATCTTGGGTTGAAAAAGAAATTGCAACGCCGCCATGAAATGAACCATAAAATATTAAACTATACTAAACAAAGTAAAATGAGAGGCCACATGAAAAGAAAATAGATTTTTTTTTTTTAATAAACCCTGAAATATTGAATATTATACAACAATGATCAATCAAATTACAATAACAATATCAATCAAATATCCAAAACTGCTGCTAAATGCATCCTGAATGCCAAATGATGCCAAAATTTCAGCTCAAAGAATCAAATACCTGAATAACTAGTCTTCTAGGTATAGTGAGACACCCAGTTGGTTTCTCAATCTTTAGTTTAAGGGCTCACGTCCATTGTTTCCCTTGTTTCCACGTATGTTTCACCAGCTTGGCTTTTGTACAGAGAAATTTCATGGCGTTCAAGGATATTAACCATTTCTGCACATTTAGACACAACAATGGTGGTCTACCCTCATTCATCTTGATGCCTTTAATTACCATACAGATCATACCTAATGGAAAATTTGAGAAGCATAATACTCGCTTTCATTAAACACAGGTCTTAAATCTTCCTTGCACATAAAATCCAAAGGAAAAGAAACAAGGTGGCCCTTAACGGACTCTAGCCTCTCCATGGGATTGGTGCCCTTCATGTTACCATCTTGATATGATTCTAGCTTCTCTGGGGCTATCCCTAAATCAATGGTAGTATAGCCAAGTTTTTCCTTCCAGTAGGCCATACATTGTCTCAGTGCAACTCTGCATGTAATCATAGGATGTTGATGTATTAGAAACTGAGAAAAAAAGGGAAAATATGAGTGGTAGTTGCCAAATGCGTATACCTGGAATGTATAAGATCGTTTGGGATGCAGGAAAAGACATCTTGGTAGATCATGGTATTTGTCTGTCAATAGGACATCCATATTTAGTTGGAAGAACAAACGAATATAGTGGGAAAAGATAAATTAAGGAAACCTTCCTCACAAAACCCATGCATTTTCTTTTCTTTTCTTTTTCCTCAGTAAAAAAACTTATGATATTAAAACATTTGTTTTCCTTGTTTAGAACAGTTAATTCTCAAAAAACAAAAAGGTGAAAACGGAGCATAATAAAGTTTCTTTTTCTACACACAAATCTCAATAAATCTGAATTCCACAAATAATGTGAATGGTAATTTGAGCAAGTCTTTGACTTGATGATATTGATAACATTTATCATCCTCACCTTTGCAGTTGCCATCCATATATCTTTGTAAGTTGAATCAACCACTGGGTCACTAATTTGACTAATCTGAACAAAAAGAGAACAATACATTGTCAGCCAAAAGATTTTGTTAGTCATATCCTCCATTTCCAGTCAATTCACCACAATCCAAGTGCAGTTCATTAACAGTGTCCGGGATGTGTGTCATTATGCAAAAAGAGAGAGAGAGAGAGAGAGGCTGATTAGGAAGTATTAGATGTACTAACCTCTCCGGCATGAAGACCAAGGTGTTCAGACCATAGTGAAAGGCGAAGACTCAGAGAAAATTTTCCTGCTTTCCAAGGCTTCCCTCCCATACTCGAATCAACAAATTCCTTGTCTTCAATAAGTACACCAATCTGAATTCACAATTTTTTTTTTAAAATTCAGAGCCTGTGTTTTATAATTTCTAAAGGAAGTGTAATAAAAAATAAAATACGAGATCCATTATGCAAACAATTTTGATATAAATCATACTGTTCCAGTTCAGGCAAAAATCACAAACTCTTTAAATATATCAGACAGTATCGAGTTCTGCAACTTGAAACAACTGACCGAATAATAAAAAATATAATGAAATGGGTCCAAAAGTAAAAGATGATAACCTCAGAATCTCTTGATCCAAGCAAACTCCTGTCATTTATATTAGCTGATCCTATCAAGGATGTACAGTCATCAACTATCATGATTTTGCTATGCACATACACCTGCAAAAAACAAAGGAATGTAAAATGGAAGGATATATCGAGATGCTTTTTATGCGTTGGAGAGCAAAAGCTTGGAGAAAATAAATTCGTATACATAGCTTTGTGATTGATCAATGATGAGAAAATATGTCAACGAGTATAAGAAGTGATGTGCTTAAACGCAGACAATACCTGACTGGATGCCACAGGACCTCCATCAAAAAGTCTGCCATAAGCTCTAAGGCCATAGAAAGATAAGTAATCATGCATAATAGGCCCAAGAAGATCATAAAGATTGTGCAATACTGAAGAATTCCCTCTGCATATTGTTCGATATTGCCAATGCATAATAGTTCTCGCAGCTGCTGCACCACCATCATCCACGCCCCCCTGTTAAACTTAATATGAAAAATGAATAACCATCTAAAATTTGAAATGTATAGCAAACAACCAAGTATTTTTACCTGGAATCCAGGTAGGAGTGGTATGACTATAACAACCCTGAAACACTTCTTCTCATTGTGTGCTCGCATAATACGCCTATATAATGCTTCTAGAACGCGGTTCCGTATAATCTCATCTCCTGAAAGACCTGAGATGAAGAACTGGTTCTGGAGATGTGTGGCCCATGCATAAAAAGAAATTATTAGAAAAGAAGAGTAAATTGAACTACTGGAAGCCCCCTTGAATGGAAAACCCCCTACCTATAACTCATTGATACATTAGCATGTTGCTTTTCCCATTTTCCTTTGTATGAACAACAGTGACCGTATTAAAATAGAAAACATCTCAAAGAAAACTATGCAGATGGGTTCAAGTTCCTCTATTTCTATTATCTTTTGAGTATTGATTTTAGCACAACAAATTCAAAAATGTCATTAATTTTTAGAGAAGGACAATCTCATCATATACCTCAATATAGATGAAGTGCTCTGCCTTTTCAATAAGAGAGCAATAAGCATTGTGAATGCTCTCCTCAATTTGGCTTGTTCCCGCAGACCATTGGCTGACACTCCTTATTACCTGAAAATGAGACCTCATTGATGCTAGTAAATGGTAGAAAGACAAATATAACAAACAGAATAAAATGGAAGTGTGAAAATGATGAGCAATAGATTTATATATTTATAATACTCTGGGATTGAAAGCAAGCAATTCCGAACTCCAGCAGAATATGTCTGTCTTATTGCAATAGTCAATTATATACCATGCTCATCCAAGTCAGAGACAAGTAAACTTCATTGATATCCTTCAAGAGCATAAAAATAGCAGCATGCAAAAATTAAAAGTTCTATTCAGCTTCCCAATTTTAAACCTCAGTCCATCTGTACTGTATCAACTAGAAATTTTTTCTCACTAGCAAATCTAAAGACAACACAAGTAAAGGTACTCAAAGACTAAAATATTGAAGATAGATTAGTTAATCTTTGAAAATAAGCAAACTATAGGATATGACAAGAAGAACCGACACCAGGACAAAAGCGACAATATATGCATTGAGAATTTTTTTTTCCATCACAACAACATCAACCTAAACCTATGCGTGGTGTGGGTGCCTGTAAATGCTTATGAAATGCGAAGTAACTACTGTACACATCATATACAATGTTGACAGTAAACAAAAATGCAAAAAATCAAAAGGTTAAAATGGACCATTTTCATGGCATAGATATGCTTTAATTCCACAAATCCTTGGGCAGTGTTTCTTTTTTCCTTTTCATTTTCTTTGTGTGGATAAGAAGAACGATTCAAGGAAATTCAAAACTGAGGTTTGGATAAACAAAAAAAACCTCTGCAATGGTTTCTGATATATCATAAATCTCCCTTCAGACTTTGATATGGACAACTCGGAGACTTTGATATGGACAACTCTCCCCAAGACAGAAGTCACTTAGAATGTAATTAATGCAAGGTTGAATTGATCAATCACTTAAAATAATTTGGGTAAATTAGATTGACACCTCTTGAAGTTTCTGTTTAATACAGATCCCCCCTCACATTTGAAAAATTAAACTTACCCCCCTGTTAAATTAAAATGACATATTTGCACCTCAGCCTTTATACATAAAAAAATAATAAAATAATACAAATATTTTGTTCATGTCATTTCAAGAGAAATAACAATCATCTTCTTTGGTTTAACTCACACAAAAAATTAAATTTTTTTTATTTTTACTGAATTTTTTAATATTTTAAGCAATTTTTTTTTATTTTTTATATACACCTAATCTAGATAAACTTAACAAGTATAATATTTTGTGATTTTTTTTTTTTTTAAATTCACCAAATACAAAAAAATACAAAAATACAAAAATTCAATACATTATTTTATTTTGTTGTATTCAATGGATTTTTTTAAAGTTTTTTGTACAAATTTTATCCTTTTTAAATATATCTACATTAAGTTGATCTAATCTAGATATAATGGTGGAAATAAAAATGAAAATTTATGTTCATATATAAAAAATTTTACAAAAAATATCATAAAAAAGGCAAGATGGTCATTTAGATATTTTAGGATATAACATCAGCAATCTATGGGGCAATTTGTGTTAAAACCTATCACCTACTTCACCCACTTAAACCTACTCCGCTAAACCTAACCCACCACACCACTACCACCTCACCTACTCCACTAAACCTAACCCACTACACCACTACCACCTCCACTTCACCTACTCCTTACCTACTACACACTCACCCTCTTCTATATATAGGAATTATGAATCATTGTAATATATATAACACCCATCAATCAATAATATACATCAATTTTAACAATTTGTAATGAGATTACAAATCTCAGGGAGGAGAATGTAATTTTTCAAATGTGAGAGGAGATCTGGATTAAACAGAAACCTCAAGGGTGTCAGTGTAATTTACCCAAATAATTTCTTCAACTTGTTGAAATGGTAAAATTCTAATGGTAGGGAGATAACTGATGCACATCAAAACCACAGGATAAGCACACCATCTATCAGGAAATTCAGTAAGGCCATCAATATCGTCAAAGAACTTGAAAAATGCTTGGAAACTTAAAGACTCACAGCCCACCTGACAACGACATGAAATACGAGGACCAACTTGCCCAGTTTCATCAGCAGAAACAACCTGATCACCTCGTTCCTGTGTCTCCCACCATTCTTTATCTGAAGTTTGAATGCCAGGCAACAGCCTAACCTCATGCTGATGATCCAAAGTATCAAGGTCATCCACAAAACCTTTCATTGGCATATCTGATATTAGGGGTTCAATTTTGGGCTTCCGGAAAGAGAAAGGGCTTCTTCCCTTGCTTGGGTGATCACGGACATCACGAATTCTATCCAACCCATTCAATTCGGGGTCTCTATTGGAAGCATCCAGCCCATCAGCCTCTTGAGGCATTAGCAGAGGGACATCTTGGTAAGATGATCGAGAAGAAAAGGAATCCTGTCTTTTTACGTCTTTATGATTGTTTCCAACATGGGTTTGGTCCTCCATCTCCCTGGTTCCACTCATGTAATGCGGAATAACCATGTGGTGCTGAGGCATGAGCAGTGGAATTGTTTGCTCATTAGCAGCTTTATTTCTCTGGAAGAATACATGACAAAGTAAGACTAAAAGAATATCAAACATGTAACATGGGAACTGTACTATAATCACAAAAGATCTACCTTTGCATAGTTCCAACGCTGAACAAAGTGCCTGGCAACATCACGACACGGTGGTCCCCAAAGGGCACAATGAACATCATGCCATGGCATACGTGGATATTTTTGACGATCCAACTCATCTTTCATTGTATCTTCCCAAGAATTAGGTTCAGATTCCCTTGGAAATTGAAATTAAAATCCATTAACCAATTTGCAACAATTTAAAACAAAGAACTTTTGTCACAAGTACTTGCCACACACAAACTACAAATGCTAGCTACAGGCTGTTTGCAAGGGAAGACACTGTGTATACCATCACTCTAGTACACACAAGACTGACAAACCCATCTGATCAGGAGACACGCAGAGCATAGGCAAAACACATTCATATCAACAAAATAATTATACTTATGTCACTTTAATGCAAATACAACAATAGTAATCTGCTCTCGTGGAATTTCAGTATGTCAGGCCCTATTTTATATGCCATTGAGTGCTTAAAATTGAATGCAGTCAGTGGTTTTGCAATTAAGTTTGATGACATTTAATAACATCACTCAAATCTAAAAATTGACTCAAAATGAGTCCTAATTTGAAATCAAAGATATTGACTTGTCACAGAATACTGAAACACTCGGTGAAAGGTAGTTTTTGTTTTTATTCTCAATTGACGTATTTATCTTGAAATTTTCCAAAACTTAAAAATTCAGTACTAAAATATTTCAGCAATAAAACTTTTATGCACATAATTTTCAATTTTATCAAACAGGTCCTTAATCTTAAATAATTTGTCAGGAACTTCAAGAATATAGAACTATAGTCTATCAACTAAACAAATTAAGATGCAAAGTTCAAGGTTGAGCAGACATGGTACAGACATAACATATCCTATTAGATCCTAATGTAAAGACATGGAATAGCAGACCTTGGGTTATAGTAGTCCTTCCCAGGCCACACCGTGGGAGGGTAATCACTCACTTTGTGTTCAAATGAGTCATAACGGCCAAAGCATAGATCCAGTCCACCAATAAAGCAAATCTGGTAATCAACAATGATGAGTTTTTCATGGTGGGACCTGTAGGTAACCAAAAATGATTATCAGCAGCTGCAAAATCTGTTGCAATTGAAATCAATAAAAAAATAAAAAATTCCAAATTACAACATCAGGAAGAACATCTGGTGGGTTTCCTTGTAAACTGCATACCATAGATAGACACCACTAGAGAAATGGTCAGGATAACGCAGTACTCTGACATTCTCATGAATGCTAATAAGCTTTTTTTTACTATAAACGCTGTTGATTTTCAGAGCAAGAGCAACCTCTTTGTATAGAAGAATGTAAATCTACAACCATAAATTGATTAAAATCAACAATCATCCAAGTGGATCTGATGTAGGTTTCAGTAACAATGAAGCAACGCAGTATAAAATAAATGAATAATCATTTGTAGGAACTTAGGTACCTGAACACCCTGCTTGGCTTTTGCTTCCAGTAAGGCATCGAGCCGAGAGGATGCATGAGCATGAAAAGGTCGTCGGAGATACAGTTCTGGGCACAGCCACCAGCCACAAATAAATATCTGCATTCAAGTTTAATCATCCAACAAATGCTATGTAGTCAACATTACAAACTTAAAGTGTACTAGAGTTCATTTTTAGCAATGCTAAAACTGCAAGAAATAGACCTCTGACTTTGCCTCCTCAATTGCCAAAGCAATAGCTTCAAATGCTGCTAGACCATCTACAAACCACTGAGCCTGACTACCATCTTCAGTCAAGCCCCGTGGAGGAGCAAAAGAGCCAAAGCGGTGAGGATGACACCAGCCCTCAGGAGGCCGAAGACCAGCATCATTAATTGCAGCAACCCAATCTTTAACTTTAGCATTGCTCTTAGTTCTCAACCGTATGCTCCGGCTCCCGCAAGACACCTATTATATATTCCAATTATTATTAGAAAGTCAAATTTTGCAGGCCACTTTAACCAGATATATAATCTCCAATAAACTATAACATACAAATGAAGAGGCAAAGTCGAAGGAAAAAATTAACTCATGGTTTACAATTTTTCAGCCACCAGTACTGGTCACTTCTTCCTAAATGGGTAGATCAGAATTCCAGCAAAGCTCCTTATTCTAAAGGCTTAGTACTTACCAGATAGAGTACAAGAAGATGAAGTTTAGCTGATGTTTCTTAAATCTTTAAACTCGGCCTTGTTTGGGAATAGGCTATTTTAGTAACTTTTTGGCTTTTTGGCTAAAATATGAGGTAAAAAAAACTAGTATGTTTGGAATGACTTTTTGATTTTTTACGAAAAGATGTGCAAAAAGTAGAGAGAAAATAAAATATTTGACTTTTTGGTATAGGCTTTTTGATTTTTTTAGTAACTTTTTGACTTTTACGCTAAAACAAACACATGCCAAACGAGGCAAAATACTTTCCAGAATTGGGAGTCGAAGTCGTTGTAACTTGAATTTTTTTAAGTTTCAACCCATCCGTATCACTCTGCAAATAATTCTGCCATTGCAACATGTACAGAATTTCATGAACATAAGTTCTGTTAGAATTTCCCATCTTTACCTTCACCTACTCCACTACACACTCCACTTCACCTACCTCCACTTCACCACACACTCCACTTCACCTCACCCACTATCACCTCCACTACACCTACTACCACATTTTCTTCTATATATAGATTGTATAAGAATTGTAATTAATCAATCTTGTATCAATACTTCAATCAATAATATTTCAATTTTAACATGGTATCAGAGCAGGCTTAGAACCTATTATTTTCGCTTCACCGGCGGGCGGCAACCTCACCTTAGCCGTCCGCCGGACCTCAACCTAATCCGCTAGAATTTTCTACACATACCTTCCTATCATTGCCCAACCAGTTTTCCGGCGAGTTTCCTGACTCCGGCACATCTCTGTTTCGTCTGTACCGGCTCGATCTGTCTCACAACAACTTTTCCGGCCAGATTCCGGCGACTGTGAACCGTCTGATTCACCTCCTCCAGCTCCGGCTCCGAGACAACCTGGACTGCCGCTTCCTCCTCCGTCAGCCACCTCGGCCCCGCCATCGCCGCCGCAGCCGCAAAGCCCCACACTCCCTCCGGCAATCCCTGCTGGGACGCAATCCGCCGCGCCAGATCCGCATCCTCCTCGGGCCAAATCTCTCTCCCGGACCTCCGATTCATCCACCGCCTCGGCTCCGGCGACATCGGCTCGGTCTACTTGGCTGAGCTCAAGTGCGGAGCCATCAACGGAGAAGCAGCGAGGACAGACAAGGAAATTTTGGAAATGTTGGACCATCCGTTCTTGCCAACGCTCTACGTGACGTTGGAATCGCCAAGGTGGTCCTGCCTACTCACTGAGTTCTGCCCCGGCGGCGACCTCCATGTCCTCCGCCAGCGTCAGCCCTGTAACAGAAGACCCAAGCCCAGGCGGTTTCCGGCAATCGGCGATCCACACAGAGGCAGTTTCCGCCCATGCCACCCAACCCTCGGTGGCTTGCGAGCTCTGCGCGTCCCCAGCCTCATTCTATTGCCATGCCGACAATGTTTTTTTTTGTGCAGAAACCGACTCACTCTCTTTCATACAAATATGCTCGTCCACCACTCGGCTTTGTGTGAGTGTGAGTTTCTTTGTTTCTGGTTTTGCTCCTCTGCACAATGACGAACTTAGCCACTGAAATGGGTAAACCCATCTTTATATCCACTTTATCTCTTTTCTATACAACTCCACCCACGTGGTCCCTCGACAGTTTCTTTATTTATTTCTTTCTTTATTATTATTATTATTTTTTTTTTAATCTCTTCTTTTCAAAACAAAAAAAAACAAAAAAATCAGAATCTCTCTGCTGGACCCAACAATTGTTGTCACCCACTCACTTCACTATTTTTTTTTAACATAATATTTTGCTTTCACCTGCCCACTTCATGATATTCCTTTTATTATTATTATTATTATTATTATTATTATTATTATTCTTATTATTATTATTATTTCTTTGGTTACATATCTGTTATCAACTCTCTTTTCTATTTATATCTATATCTATCTATATTTACCTTTCCATCACTTCTGATTTTTCACAATTTTCTTTTATTTTCAACAAAAAAAAAAAAAAAAAAAAAAAAAGACGGACTGCACACCAAACCTTCCCTTATTTTATTCATGTCGGGACTCACCCCGATCACCATTTTACATAAACCAAAAAAAAAAAAAAAAAACAAAAAAAACAACCCAACAACCAAAACCCAAACAACCACATACACAAGCGGGATTTTTCTCCTCTACTCTGCCGCCGATCTCTTCTTCTTGCCTCCGTCCTGGACGGCCTTTGACGGTGTTGCCTCCGTGTTTCCCGCTCCACTGGGCACGATCACTCCACCATACTCCTCCACTGCAGCATATGGCGGCCCTCCAAAACGGAACATCACGGTGGCCTTCCGCTTCAGCTCCTTATTTTCCGCCTTTAGCACACGTATCTCTGCTCGCGCATCCTTATACATGCGTTGGAGCAGAGCCAGCTGGGAGTTTAACTGCTGCACCTCATTTGCCCTACTCTGCAGCCGGTTCGACAAGTTTGTATCTCTGCTCGCGCATCCTTATACATGCGTTGGAGCAGAGCCAGCTGGGAGTTTAACTGCTGCACCTCATTTGTCCTACTCTGCAGCCGGTTCGACAGGTTTGTGACCGCCGTCATGCTTTCCACACATACCTTCAAAGTATACTGATTGGCCTCCACATCCGACAGCACTGCCATTCTTTGCTCCACAGACCGCATCGGAAAGTTCAACGGAGTATACCCAGCGGTGTTTGGTTGAGGTTCCAGTGCCACCGCACCAGTTCTCTCTCTCGTTGACTCGTTGAGGTCGGGAAAGAGGGTGAGCAGTCCACGGGAAGACGAGGACGAGGCCATTTTTCTGGGCAACAGAGTGTTACAGCGTATTACAGAGTTTCTCTCTCAGCACAACAGTGTTACAGCCTCTCTCTCTCAGCACAACGAAGAGTTTTACAGAGGATTTCACAGTTTTTTTTGCTTCTGCCTCGGCCTCAGGCTCTGTCATGGTTAAATAGCCGAGGTAGCCACGCGCATCGCGCGCCTCTTGCAGCCAGACGACAAACGGGCGCGCCAACCAAGGCACCCACGTGCCTCGCCATCATGTCCGGCACACCTTTTGATGAATTGGGCACGCCTTTTGATGGCACGCCTTTTTATGGATTGGGCACGCCTTTTGATGGCACGCCTTTTGACAAAATTAGGCACACCTTTTGAGGGTGCGACTTTGTAAGGGTCCGACAAGACTCTGTAAACTGTCCCGACATTGATTCCGGTTAGCTCCTTCAAGGGTCCGACAAGACTCTGTAAACTGTCCCGACATAGATTCCGGCTAGTTTCTACAAGGGTCCGACAAGACTCACCTATCAAGTGATTTAGGTAATCATACCCGACATCTTCCGGTTAGTTTCTACAAGGGTCCAGCAAGACTCCGTAAACTGTCACAACAACTGTCACAACAGTGTCTGTTACAACGGTCCGACATGACCCCGTAAACTGTCTTCTACATCGGTCCGACATGACCCCATAAACTGTCTTCTACATCGGTCTGACACCGCCATCCAGTGTCCTCTACACCGTTATGACACCACCATACAGTGTCCTCTACATGGTTATGACACCCCCATACAGTGTCCTCTACAAGGTTATGACACCACCATCCAGTGTCTTCACCAACGGTCTGACACGACCATACAGTGTCTCTTATCTTTTTTTTATTGTTATGTATTTTCTTGTTTTGTTCCTCTCTTCAAACTCAAGTTGGTTAGTTTCTATCCTCCTTGAGTTTGCGGGGGGCTGTTAGAATTTACCATAACCCACTCCACCTACCACCTCCACTAACACTCACTCCACCTACCACCTCCACTACCCCTTCACCTACTACCTTCTTCTCTTCTATATATGAATCATTGTAAACAGAATAACAACAACTTACATCAATCAATAATACAAGAGTTTTAACATCATCCTCTAAGAATATGTACACTTCTAAGCAGTTACTTTGTCCGTAGATATGTATCGGCCAGTCCGACACTTCAAGTGTGCCTCTTGCTCCATTATTGTGCCTGTACTTTTGCATTACCGTGTGCCTTTATTTGTTGCTTAACTGTGTGCTCTTTGAAAGCTAACCTTTGGCAGACTTGCTTGGAGCCATCCAAGACAAGCGCCACACATCCCTATGTAGAAAGTGTCAGCCCATGACACAGAGCAGTTCTATCTCTATTTCTCTTTATACATTAAATTTTACAAATATGAACACTTCTAAGCAGTTACTTTGTCCGTAGATATGTATCGGCCAGTCCAACACTTCAAGTGTGCCTCTTGCTCCATTATTGTGCCTTTACTTTTGCATTACCGTGTGCCTTTATTTGTTGCTTAACTGTGTGCTCTTTGAAAGCTAACCTTTGGCAGACTTGCTTGGAGCCATCCAAGACAAGCGCCACACATCCCTATGTAGAAAGTGTCAGCCCATGACACAGAGCAGTGGATGGTTTTCTTTGGAAGTTCATTCTTTTAGACACAAACTTGTCCACAATTAGTAATATATATGCATTTAAAGAGTAATCACAGAAATATGGAAAAATAATGAACCTAATATCCACATGATAAGTTTTTGACAAAAACGCATAAGCACTCAGATAATGTGCATCACTTAGGTATATAAGAGAGACTTTTAAAATTATTTGAACAACCATAAAATGCAAACACAAGTGACTTCAACACATACCCAAAACATCCTTAGTTACGTATCATAGCAGGATACTACCAGAAGAGGGAAAAAAGCATAGCCAATGCCATTACAGTTCACTCAGTTTCTTATCCACCTACTGTTGATTCTAATATTTTTCATCACAAAAGATGTTCATTCCTTTCTCTATGCAGTAATCGTAAGGAATAGAAGAAACCAATTTTTTGCACATACATATAAAACAATCTTTTTTCATTAATATCCCACAAGGATTAATCATCATCATCGTAATAATAATAACAACAACAACAATTGTACAGAAATATTCAGTCCATTAATTGTTATTAAACTAAAATCTCACCAGATTGCAGTAGTGATCAGTCATCATTGCAATTAAGCCAACCACAGAAGCAGTCCCCTCCGGAAGAGATAAGTAAGCCTGAAAATACAACAGTAACATGACACACTTCTAAACCAAAGCCATGCAACACTAGATACCTACTCTCATTCACTATACCATGTCATGCTCAAAATCTTGATTTCTAACCATCAATCCGGGTTCTCATATTGCTAGTACCCTAATACAATTTCGAATTGGTAATAAAACTTTTTTTCCATGAAACAAGATATGCAATAATCGAAACCATAACCACTACAACAGTGATGGTGGGAAAGCATATCCCAGGTTTTTTGGTGAAGAAAATAAAACAATTGAAAGTGCATGTTGGAACAATTAAAAAAAATAAAATTCATACCACAAAATCTTTATTTTTATTTTTTTTTTGATAGATTCTGTAAAGATTGATGTATTATTAATTGATATATTGATTTCTTTATTTGTATACAATGACTCTCCTATATATAGAAGAGAAAAACATATTCACCTACCACACTCAACTCTCACCTAACACACTTACATCTACCTACCACACTCAACTCTCACCTAACACACTTACATCTACCTACCACACTCAACTCTCACCTAACACACTTACATCTACCTACCACACTCAACTCTCACCTAACACACTTACATCTACCTACCACACTCAACTCTCACCTAACACACTTACATCTACCTACCACACTCAACTCTCACCTAACACACTCAACTCTACCTACCACACTTACATAATCTAACCAACTTAGCTTGCTAACTTGACTGCTAGTAATTAATATTCAAAACATAACTTGCTAATTGGCAGCTTCTCTTCCATTAGCAGCACTCCTATCATAATACTAACAAGACAAAACAAAGTATGGATGAGATGATTCATATGATACAAATATATATATATATATATATATCAATGATTGCATCAATGGGAAACAAGAAAGCCAATAAAGACATTTTCAAAAAATTTGTGACAAACATGATTACTTGTCATGATTTAGGTATTTTTTTATGCACTTTATGTTTATGATTTTATTAGGGGATTTTTTATTTCAGAGATTTTTCAAGCTAAGGAATTTTTTATTTTTTAGAGATTTTTGAAGTTTAAAAAAAAAAGAAGAAGAAGAAGAAGGATGCTGCTTACTTTAAATGAATGGCGTAAAGGGTTACGTTCCTTTATTTCTTTTGCTAATGACACTCGGCCCTCTCCATTGCCATCTGAGGCTGGCAATACATCAAAAACTATTATATCTAATGGTTTGGTATCAAAGGGACCTTCTAGCAGGGCCAAGAATCCAGGTTTTAGTACAGCCCACACCTGCAAAAAAAAATTCTACAGTTTAAACTTTTACAACATAGGGATTAGTAAAAAGTTGGATATAAGTATTGGCACTTCTGCTACATGCCATAGAATATCACCCAGGTGCCTCTCACTTTTGCCAGGCTCAATTTTCAGTTCTACAAAGACTTCACTATTACGGATTTAAAGGAAACAAAAGCAAAATACACTAAATAAACAAACAAATCAGGGTTGTCACTCAAGAAGCAATACAACAGTGCGTGAAAAAGATGAAGTTTGCTCAACAATAACATGAACATCAGGATCATGGTAATCAAATCCAGCTAGAATATAAGAGAGTATTTAGCAGCTGCCAATTGTGGACTTGAAATTTATACAAATCCACCAAGCCAAGAAAAAGCCTTGTCCAGGTTCAAACCCTCATCATTATTGGTTGACCCATATATATGCAACGAAAATAGTACCCTCAACAAAGGAAATAGGAGCAAAGAGGAAGAGCGTAAAAATTGAAGAGTCGAACTATGCTGTGTGTGTATTAATCCATTATATGCTATATCAAAAGCATGTCACGTCAACATTTTCAACGCGAATTTTAATTGTGCCATCTTTCTCCTTTAATTTGTTTTCAAGATGAATTTCAATACTGAAGAGCCAAAGTTTGATAATGCCTGAAGTATCGTAGTTAATGATACAGAATACTGCACTAGTACATATACCATGTTAAACAATCACTTATTTAGTAATTGGTATCATTAAAAAAAAAATCATGACATGGCAAATGGATGTGAAACCCTTTCAACCATTCCAACCAAATACCTTGCTCCAAGAGCACCCAATAACTTCTCCATTTTGAGATACAATATAGAGAAAAGTGACTTTTGGGGGGCCACACACAAACGAACTTCAGTACTTCACAATATTTTACTGCATAAGGTGGTAGTGGTGTAGTGGGTTAGGTTTAGTGGAGTAGGTGAGGTGGTAGTGTTGTAGTGGGTTAGGTTTAGTGGAGTAGGTTTAAGTGAGTGAAGTAGGTGGAGAGTAGGTGGATTTTAACACAAACCTTTTCACAAATACAAATTAAGATAGAGATCTTAGGCCAACAAATCTACAATCATCTGCAACATCCACATTCTTTGACCCAACTGATGTGTGTGGAGACAAAAAAATAAAAGGATCACAGAAATATTGCTTACAAGAAATAATAGGTATCCATTTCAAATTTTCAATGCAACTTTCAATAAAAAATGACCTCTTCAACAACATACAAGTTTAACATAACAAATTGCATACATATGCATGGTAATATTCAAACATAAGGAAAAATGTAAAAGATTGGGGAAAAAAAACTCAGTAATTCACAACCACTACATAATGGAAAGTAGGGAAATTTGGCAATTCAAGAGATGACTTATCGTGGTGTTACCTTTTGCCAGTTGTCATTACAACAACTGCACCAATGGCATGCACAACATTTTGTATGATCATCATCACGTGGAATTTGTGTTAAATGCTTCACCCTTACAAAGTCCTCTTTTAGCTTAGGGCCATACTCCGGTGAAAATGATAACTTAGAAACCTCCAAAAACTTGCAAACCTACAGTATAAAATTGCTTGGTGAAAGACAGGTATGAAGAAATGGTATAGTAACAAAGACCAAGTACGAGAGGCTGAACTATATAGCTAAATCTCATGAGAAATCATCAAAATTTTATAAATTAAGAAAATAATAAAGTTGTACAAACTGACTGTGTGATTGAATTAAAATAGTAAAAGATGAATAAAAAAGATGACAACATGCCACTGGAAACATCAACTCTAATGAGAGCCATAAGGTAGTCAGCCTTGTAATAAGAAGTCATATGAAGAAAAAAAATGTTTCCATCAGATTACAAACAGGAAGATAGAGACACATTGATCGATTGATGTGATGTAAGGTCTCCATAACAAATGCCAAAATATTTCCTTCTTGACCTGAAGGTGTTAGCAATTGCTCTTTGCAAATATAACATGTCATATACTAACAAACAAAAGGTCTTTATCGAAGAAATGACTCCAATTCTATACTTATCAGTACCAGAAATTTAGCACTAAAAACAGTTTTTTTTTTTTTTTGAATTACTAAAAAACAGTATGTGAGATGGAACTTTCTTATATTTCTTGCAGTCAAATATAGCTTTCTATGTATTTCAACAGTCACATTATATAATTAAAAGAACTTGTACTGACACACCGACAGCAGTGTAATAGGATTGTTGTTATTAACAGGCTAGAAGAAACGTGCATGCCAAAAATGATAATGCAGACCATAACTTTACACTGCTGAAAGCATAGTTACAATACCATACTATAGTACCAAGTGGTATGTACTCAGAAACAAAATGGAAAATGCCAGTGCAAAGTAGTTAGAAGAGTGTATATAGATTAGTAGCATACCTCTGGAGAGTTAACCATATCAATGTTGCTGAGGAAGTGATTCAAGTACCCTTGCATTGCAACCTTTGCTTGGTCTGACATGGAGTGCTGCCTTCCAAGAGCTGGCCGAATAATAGGCAGAGCAGCTATAGATGGAACATCTCTGAACAAAAAATCACCTGTAAGAACTATTACAATTATAGAAGGAAAGGATATATGTCATGCTGCTCATCCGTCTTAACAACCAATGTGATCAGTGGTCACCTGTTTCTGGCGCTTTCGTCATGATGTAAAGGAACAGTCTCGTCGTCGTCATCATCTTGCACAACTGCTGCATGATCACCTGTGTGATCACCTATTCCAAGGTTTTGAAGCCATTCTTTAACCTTAAAGATTACAATGCCAATAGAGAAAATATCAAAATGCCACAATGTTATGAAATCAAATACCAAAAAATAAGCTTCCCACAACATTATAACATCAAAGATCAGTAATTAACATGGAAATTACAAAAAAAAAAAAAAAAAACGGCACATGTAATTGGGACCACCAAAATTTATACACACCTGCTCTTGCTTCTCGTGAATTTCCTCGATAAATGCACGTTTCTTCAATGCAAAGTGCAAATAAAATACTTGTGAAGCTTTCTTCACCAACTGCCACTTGAACTAGTGAAATAAATCATACAGGAATATTAGTCTACTGTCACCAGACTTTGTAAGTATTAGTTTCAACCCCAAGAGATGGCACTACAATTTACTGCTAGTACCAAATAATAATAAGCAACAGGTCACACTCAAATGTCTAGAAAAGTAGTGGATATTTTAGCATAACTGATGCTAACTTCTCAGTTTCTAAATTTATATGATTTTTATACTCATTCAAAATTTAACAAAATCTAAACTTATCTCTAATAAATTAATTCAGACAGTAAGAAAAGGAAAAATTCTTACATGGTAGAACTCAACCCAAAAACTAGTTGTTAATGTGACACACCCGTCGCGCTTATATAGCACTTCACTTCACACCCTCTCTCATGCGCATGAAGCAAGAGACACGCATCCTACCCATCCCTAGTGCTCCAGCTCTAATACCATGTTATACGATTTTGAATAGAACTCAATTCCAAAAACTAGTTGTTAAGCATGAGGGCACATGGGACTTTACTTCACAAATCTTTTTCTAGCAACCCTCTGTTAGGTATCCAAGAAAATTGAGGAAAAATATATCGAAGTTGTGACAATTTTTTTTGCTTAGGGGTTGTTTGGGGTATCCTAAATAAGTGCAATTTTTGTCTTTTTAGACTAAAAAATTGAGGTTGAAAATATGAATGTTTGGGTTAACTTTTTGACTTTTTATAGAATAATGTGTATTAAAAAATTGCATAAATTAATGTGTAGAGGAAAATTAATATTGAGAGTTATGCAGCCGTAATTGTTGACTTTTGGTGAATAGTGATAACTTTTTAACTTTTTGAATAATTTTTTGACTTTTTTGAGACTTCCCAAACTTGGCCTTAAATCTTTTTTCTTTGGGGATAGGCTATTTTAGCCTTAAAGACAAAAAGTTACAAGAAGTTGTCACATTCTCTCTCTACTTTTCTCTATATCTTTTCGTAAAAAATCAAAAAGCCTATTAAAATAGCCAATTCTCAAACCACCTAAGTCTCCAAACGAAAAAGAGATTTAAAAGTAATCAGCTGATAATTGTAGATGGTTCAGAGTTCATAAAACAATTCTCAGTACACAAAAATCAACGGAGAACATGAGGTTCAAAATGTTCTTTTTTCTTCTTTCCCCTTGTTTCTCAATCACTAACAAAGATGTAACTAGAATATATTCAATTAATATAAAAATGAACCTCATCACTCTTTGATCATTTCTAATTGAATTTGCCCAACCAAAAAAAAAAAAAAAAAGCCTTTATCATTTAACTTCAATTCAACACAAGATTTCAGCTTGCAGCATATGAACTTCCACTGATTCATTACAATATCAAACATATATACATACATGTACGTAATTCTCAAACAAAAGAACGTGGATTTGAAAGCAATATGGGGGAAATCAAACCTGTTTGTAACGGAATTCAATGGTGTAGGTGAGAAGCATGGGGCTGATGTCGGCGGGGTCGGGTCGAGAAACAGAGATGATCTTGGCCTTGGGCAACTCATCGAAAATACGAGTGAACTCCAGACCTTGTTGTGACGTGGAGAAGAAGAAAGACGACGTCATCGACGGCAACTGCAACGGCTCCGGCTGCATTTGAAGGTACCGAGGACCGCCGCCGGACATCGACTGCTCCGACGCCATTGATTCCGATCACAATACACGATCTATATCTATAACTGTCAGTATATAGAATGGATGCAGAGAGAGGGAGAGAAGGAACGATACGGAATTTGATCTGATTTTGTACGCAGACACACGTTTGTCAAATCTAGGAACTTCGACTTCGCGTTTCAAAACGGGTTCTGGATAGTCCGACTTATTTTGGAAACGGCTCCACTATTAAATCAATTAACAATAAATGACAACAATAAACAAGTCTTGAAATGTTTCTTCTATGTGACCAGTAAGGATCATTAAATAATAAAAAAAAATTATTAGTAAGATTATATTTGATTAGAAAATTTGATGAAATAAATAAAAAAGGAAATAAAAATAGAAAGAATTGATAAGATTTAAATTTTAAATTATGTTTGGTTGAGTTGGCAAATAAAAAAAGAAAAGAGCCTCATGTTTAGTTGAGGGATCTAGAAAGAAATTTGAAAAAGAAAAAGAAAAAAAAATGTGTGAAATTAGATGAAATATAGATATATTTTATTCACATTTCATATACTTTTTCTTTTTCTTTTTTTTTTAGTCTCCTAATCAAACACAGCTTAAGAGTTTACAAAAATATGATCCAATTGAAAATTTCAAAAACCCTTACTGATAAGAGTCTCCCGTTTAATGACTCTTACCGATCAGAGTATTCCGTTTAATAATTCTTACCAATCAGAAATCTTAACTATCTAATCGAGTTAAAATTTCAGTTAGAGACCAATCATTCATTTTTTAATATAAAATAAATAAAGAATAATAAAGTTTTATTTTAAAATCTAATTAATACAAGCTATCAACTACAAATAAATCATGACATGTTAAGTAAATTATATGCATACCAAAAAGATTTATGAAAATAAAACAGTATGTTAAATGTTAATGTGAAAAATTTTAAACAAATTATTTAGCAACTATGAATGAGTTTTATAGATGAAGGCTGGAAATGAATTCTAATTATTAATCTTATAAACGTGTATAGAATTTTGTACAATTTAATTATGGCCTAAATCAAAACCTAATTCAATTATATTAAATGATGATTTTAAGATTTAAAATCAAACCAATGTATTTTGTGCACCCCTATTGAAAAGTACATGTGTTTTAAGGAAAAGTGTTTTATAAGAAACAAAGCTTCAAATAATTTTAACTTTTTATAAAATTGATTGGTGATGCCCAACTCTAGCAATAATAAATTCCCCACATAAAAAATGAATTCATAATTCATATTCATTTTAGGTATGAATACTATTGAATTCTATTATATTATATAAAATATAAAAGTTAAGTATGAACCACTCATTTTTTATTTTATTTTTTTTGTAATTTTCTGTGCATGCTTCACGTATTTTAAAACAAATAAAAATAAATAAATAAATAATGAATTTTCTTTGAGTAATGAGTAAGCTATTAGCCTAGATGGAAAAGTTTTCCAGCATTTTAGCTTTGACTTTGTCACTATTCCCAAAATTTTGGTCAATTGAGTATTAAAAAAAAAAAGCAATGTTAAATTGATCGGATTTTAATTTGTCCAAATCGCTTAAATTTTGACTTATCAATTGCCTGATCAGTCATACGACAAAAAAATAATCACAGTCGACAAAGGATGACAATCACAATAGACAAAGTGATATCCGCAAGCAATTTGAACAAATTCAAATTCAAGTTACCAATTTTTTTTATAAAAAACAAAAAACACAACTTGGCTGATGCTAAAGCAACTTTTGACCTGCGTCACAACACTTCAAATATAGCAACTTAAATGGGTTTTGGCTTTCAATAATGAATGTACTCTTGGGTGCAACTTGTATAATTTACAATTCTGGCCAACCAACTTTGAAGACGACTAAACAAAGCTATTTATAAGCCTCACATTTAACAATTTATTAATGAACATAACATCATCAGTGACAATAAACAAGAAACCAACCAAGATATGCTAAATTAATTACCAGAGCATAATTCTTTAGAGAAGTAGAACATTATTGCTAATAAGTCGATGCCAAAAGGTGAGAGATCCTCTGTCCCTTAAATTCTTGTTTCATATCCTTCTTGTATTCATAGTAGTATGAAAATCTGAAGACAAGATGGTATGAGAGTACCTCAAAATAGAAAAATAAGAATATTCTGACTAGAAGACTCTGTGCCATGCCAATCTAACCTAACATAAATGTCTCAAAAAGGAGATAGAACCTGTGTCCTTACACCAAGGATCCTCTAGAGTGAAATTTCCCTAAAGTTTCCTAGAGTGCTCCATTGTGTGGTTGAGATTCACTGGCAAGTCACATCAGAAAAATTGATGTGACTTGCTAATAAATCTCAACCACACAATGGAGCACTCTAGGAAACTTTAGGAAAAAGTCACTCTAGAGGATCCTTGCTCGTGTCCTTAAGCTTTAAGGGTCACGAGATGATCACCAGCAATTTAGCCACACATGACTAGTCAAAGGTGGTGGTTATTTTGAAAAGTTGACTTTTAATCAACTTTTTTGGTTTGTAACAAAAGTCAAAAGTTGACTTTTTTGTCTTTTTTTTCATTTTAGAATTTAGTTTTTAGCCAACGGTGAAATTATAATTTTACCCTCATGAGTCAAATGTGTTACATAGGTAAAGTTGTAAATATTTTAAATGAGGGTAGTTTGGTCATTTTATTATGATTTGACATCATAAACAAACATTAATAAAAAAAGTCAAAAGTCACTTTTTACCAACTTCCCAAATCATTTATCTAAAAAAGCCAAAAAATCACTTTTTACCATCTTCCCAAAACAATCCAAAATATGAAATAAAACACAAAAAATGTATAGAAAGCGGAAATTTATTTGAAGTGTTTGACACCACATCCAGGTTGAATTTCAACTGAACTACACTACTCTGTGTTCCATTAAGCATTTTTGAAAAGGGTATTTTTGAGAGGATAATCATATCTCAGCCAAGTAAAATCACAAGAATTTTTTTTTTTTCCCATAAATCGTAATAGGAAGAATCACAAGAATTTTGAAAGACTCATCTGTTCAAAATATGTTTCTTTACAACAATCTACCTTAGGAAACAATCAACTCAATGTGAGGGTGAAGATTCAATACCATGTACCTGCTCATGCCATAGCATAACCAAAATTTTCAGAATCATGGCCTCACAAGTCATATTTACCCGTCAGTGATCAAGAAATATTCACACAGATCTCATGAATTAGATTCAACCTAGTCGAAGGGAAACAAATTTAATTTTGCATCCACATGAAGAGTACAAAAGGGAAAACATGAGTAGAAAACCAACAAAAAAAAAAAGCACAATGCATAACAAATATTTGACATAGTATCTTAGAAAAGGTATCCTCATGTATAGAACGAAAACCAACAATCTAGAAATCAAAATTTAACTTCCATCCATCCATCTAATTGTCAAAAAACAGGCTCATCCCATGACTCCAAGTAGCATATGGATGATTCAATAACTCATCACAAATCACAAACACATACTACTCAACAAATAACTAAAGAAACTACATCTTACAGAGTTTCGAGATTCAGTACTTTGTAATAAAGAAAATGTGCCACGAAAGTGTAACAAACAGCTCTGTAAACACATCTTTTATCAACCCTTCAGTTTTAATCATGGAGGTGTCTCAGCTCACTTCTTGGATTTCTTAGCTCCCCTACAAGAACAAACAAGATTCTCAGTTGGAACCACCCATTTCAAAGAGATCACAACATAGAATTTCTCAATTCTTACCCTGCAGATTGAGGTGCAGGTATAGCTGCGGCTGCAGGTACTCTCTCCACAGGTCCCTGACACCATATAAATTATTTGTAAGGCCAGATGCATGCACAAACACTCATTACTGTGTACAAGTACAGATATGCCTTGATATCAGTCCATGCAATATACTACATTAACTTTTCTGAACGGCATGATAGCCTTGATGTTCTTTCAACCACACCTATAACTAAAACACTATTGCTCTCAGTATTCATACAATGTGGGTGTTTGGGAAGTTGCTATTTTAGTAGACTATTTTAGTTTGTGGCTATTTTAGTAGGCTAAAATTTTTATATTTAGGAAGATAATTGGATTTTTTTATAGTTGAATGTGATGTTTGTGAGAATAAAAAAGTGAAATAATTATAGATTTGATGTGACATTTTATCTTATTAGCTATTTTAGCCTATTTTGTATTTTTGTGGATTTTAGCCAAAAAAGGCTAAAATCCAACTTGCCAAACACCCGCCAAATAAAATACTATTGCCCTTAATATTTAAATTTTCCATCAAACTGCCCATATTGTTTCAGTTATAGTATAGTTGGCTTAGAAAACCAGTGTCAGGTTTCTTTCTTAAAGCTTGTTTCTTAGTCTCATCTTACCTGAGCCAAACGCTCGTCCCTCCGAGCTATCTTTCTTTCTCTGCTTGCTTTATTCTTAGCACGCTTCGCCTCAAACTGGTCAGATAATGTCTTTTCTCTAGCCTTCTCAGCTTTTGTCTTGTGAATACTCTCCATCAGCACCCGCTTGTTCTTGAAGACATTACCTTTAACTTTCATGTACATGTCATGGTACATGTGCTTATCAATCTTTTTTGATTCCCTGTACTTGCGGAGCAAGCGCCTCAGCACACGCATTCTCCTCATCCAAAGAATTTTTGTTGGCAATCTTGCCTCCCTAGTACCCTTGCGCTTACCTGGAAAATTTTAAGAAAGTACACATTATCTCTGTTATCAGAATCTTACGATTCACGATTCGATTCGCAATTTTTGCAAAATCGATATGAATCTATAGGTGAATCTATTTTGGAAGTGAATCTCTAGTGAATCACACAATTCACAATCGATTCACGATTCAATTCACATTTTACAACTCATGCAATTCTTGAAATTATTACGTCCGACATATTTTCGACTCTTTTTTTTTTCTCTATCTTTTTAGTAAAAATGACATACAACTTATAATATTGTTTAATACCAAAATAAGCAACATATATACATGATTTCTTGTTATTTTAGTGATCATGAAATTTTTAATAAGATCCAGCCAGATTCAGTCAGACCCAACATGATTTTAACCTTTCTTCTTTTTCTTTTTTCTTTTTTTTCTAAAAAATCATAATATATCTTCTAAAGATGTTTAAGATTAAAGTAACTTATACTATGCATTATATATTGCTATTTTATTAAATTGAATATTACATGGGTGAAGTCAATTATATCTTTTCAAATGTTCTAGGCTTTAAAATAAAAGATCCCATATAATTCTTTCTTATTATTTGGTCACCGTTACTTGGAAAAATGTGTGTGGTTATTGTTCAAATATTAATATCATTGTTAATTATTGTTACTTTAAAAATTACTAGTTTGTCTATTTGGTTACTGCCTTTATTAATGGTTGATAAAAAAATCTAAAAAATGAAAAGGTAATATGGTGATCTTAGATAGGTATCTTTGTTAACTACTTATCTATTAAATTACGTGATCATCATTCAAAACAACATTTTCATCGATTTAAGTCTAAATATTTCATATTCATAAGATATATTTAACATTTAAGTGTGTAAATATATTTTTCTAAGTAATTTAGAAAAGGTAACTGAATCTTTAAGATTCACGATTCAGTAAGAGGACATTTCAATTCACGATTTGAATCTCGATTTGACAACTATGCACATTATATGTTGAAGACATTACCTTTCACTACAGACTATAATAGAATGTCAATCCTAATTGCAATTCCAATGCTCAATGACATTTCTACTTAATGTGGAAATCTCACTCCCTCGCTCCCTCATGGAAATCTCACATTGTTAGAGATTCAAGAATGCAAAAGAATAGTGGAACCACAAGATTTTAAATTTTTTTTATCATTTTCCAATTTAACATTCTTGCCTAATCCAAACATTTGAATGAGAGGAATCTTATTAGGGGAAATTACATGTCAGAGCTTTTGCTAAAAAATAATTACAAAATCATGAGAAAGTTTATGTTTTTACTTTTTAATATTTGTAAATTTTACCATTAATTTGAAAATATTTTCCTACATATCCACTGAAATGAAATAACCCATGTTATTACTAGTAATAGGATTCTTGTTAATGGGATTCTCATTTATGGTCTTTAACTCATATCATCCAAACATGGCTTAAGAGAAACTACTCTTCTGCCTTGAAGCTGTTAATCTCTTTAAATATCAATTAAAGAGACTTGGAAGTGAAATGAAGGCTTATCATAGGTCTTCAAAAGTTTAAATAAATAATACATAAAAAAATAAAATGTTGGTCCATCGGATTAAAAAAACTAGCCAAATTTTGAAGGGGAAAAAGTAAAAAAACCTTTAGTTCGAGAAATTCAAGGCATATATAAAGGGACTCGAAATAGCACTAATGGCCCATGACTGTAACAATGCTTTAGTCATGTATGGAACTCACGGAATTTGAGGTGCAACCTCAATGCCTTTTTGTATAGGTAAAACTAAAGGTGCAAGTGGTCAGAAGTGCATCAATTGAAATAATTTCCTAATAACCATACCATATCCAGAGTGTCGTCCCTTTCTCTTAGCCTCATTCATTCTGCGGGCACGAGATCGTGAATGAATCTTTGTTGGCTTCCTTATGACAAAACCATCCTTCACCAGTTTCCTTATGTTTTGCCCTGTACACAGGCAAAAATAAACAAGATAATTAAATACAAGTCCTTAACATGACCCACAGAAAAGCAGAAAAACTGGCCGACTGGTTCAATCACTTAAAAGAGCAATGCTACTAGTTTTAAGAGTCACCCACAGCCATAGGCCAAACAGTCCAAAGAACACTAAATCTTTACATAATAAAATGCACCAAAACCTAAATTCCAGCCTCTGAACATGGCTTACATTGCACTTTGGAGAATGTTTTAGCAAAGAAGTACCAATCTACTAAATTGTTCTTAATCCCTTTCTTGTTGATAAATTATTTGGCCAATTTGATATAATCTATTTCTTATTAATAATCAATTCTACAGTTTAATCTGCGAACTAACACAGCAAAATCAAACATTTCCAACAATGTAAATGCGACAAATATTTCACGATTGCATGTCTACAATCCAACAAGACGTAGAAGAATCACATCAGATCCCAATAGTAACAATGCAATAGCAATTCGCACGAGCATGCGTATCCGAATATGAATATACATATATATATATAGAGAGAGAGAGAGAGAAAGAGAGAGAGATTACTGGAGTTAGCCATGGAGATTTCGTTGACCTCATTGGGATCGAGCCAGACCTTCCCTCTGCCGCACTTGAGGACGCTAGCGGCGAGCCGCTTCTGGAGCTTCAGCGACACCATCGCCTCCCTCTCTCTCTCCTCTCTCAGTTGCAAAACCTGGAGTTTTTGGCAGAGGGTTTTATATTTAGGGTTAGGGTTCCAAGGACCGAGTCGGTGAGTGAAGAGAAAGAAATAGGGCGGTGGTATCTACCGGGGCGGACTGAGTTCGGGCCGGGTGCATACTTAAAAAAGGAAGTCGACCGGCTTAGGCCAAGTTTGACATGATTGAAAAAAGATAAAAAGTTAAAAAGTCACTATTCTATTTAAGTCACATCATCTTAGGCCAAGTTTGGCATATTCAAAATAATCCATCTTTTTATCTTTTTTCTATCACATTACCTCTCTACTTTTCTGCACATCTTTTCGTAAAAAGACAAAAAGTACACTTATTTTGGTCATCCCAAACAACCCCTAAGGGTGCATCCAATAATCTTCTTGTCGGAGGAATGTCTTCTTTTGCTCGAATTCGAAGACAGAGACAGAGAGAAAGGAGAAAAGAGGAAGAGGGAAGAGGGAGAGAAGAGAGGAGAAGAGAAAGAGGAGGAGAGAGGAGGAGAGGAGATCACCACCGCCGTCGCCTCCGGCCCCGCCTCCGCCTCCTCCTGTCCCTGTGAATATGCCCCCTCCAGTCCTCCTCCTTCCTCCTCCTCCTCCTCCTCCTCCCTTCTCTTCTCCTTCTCTTTTTCTTCACCCTTCTTCTTCGTCTTCCTTCTGCAACAAAAACATAGGAAAAAGAAAAAAAACAAAAAAAACAAAGACACCAAAACGACGTCGTTTTGGTGAAAATAGATGGTGTTATAGTTAACGGTTGACAAAAAACTAATCCGATCAGATAGTTATCGATATCCGATTAACGTGATTTTTTACAAGCAGATAGTACTCAACGATTTCTACATATTGAACGGTTCCGATTAGCAAAACGAGACCCATGGTGGGCCCCCACGGGCCGAACAGCACCGTCCAATTCAATGTCTGAAAAGGAGGCAAGCTTCTCCTATACACTATTCTGCCCACTGTACTACCTACCCTGCCAAACGTCTCCTATACACTAATTTATATAATTTTTTAATACACATTTTTTCGTAAAAGTCAAAAAATTATCTCAAATAACCATATTTTTTTTTCAACTTTTTAATCTAAAAAGTCAAAAAGTATACTTATTTAGAACACCCCAATTAACTTCTTAATATCAGACTTTTAAAACTCACGTTTTAAGCTTTAGTTTTAAAATGAAAATTTGATTTTTTGATTTTTGATTTGATTTTGTAACTTGAAAATGCCAAAAGGCTTGCGAAGCATCCAAAGATAAAAGAAACAAGAGCTCACTGGGAGGATTTGCCACCCAATCCAGTGGAAGCACCCTTTGAGATTTTGATAAGCTAATCAATGAGCAACCCACTGGAATGATACGTGGTTTCTGAAACAAGTAGAAAAATGATTTATACCTCGTTTGAGAACTCTCTCTTTTAGTTAAAAAGTCAAAAAGTTATTAAATTAGTCAAAAAATCAATAATTCATACTAAAAAGTCAAAGATTCTCTTTTCTTTCTACTTTTTGTACATCTTTTCGTAAAAAACTAAAAAGTCATCCTAAACATACTAGTTTTTTTTAACTCATATTTTAGTCAAATAGTCAAAAAATTACTAAATTAACCTATTCCCAAACGAGGCCTTATTCTTTAATTTTACTTGCCCAATTTCACTTTTAATGATGTAAAATTAGAGAATTAAAAATAAAAGAGAGATAATTGTGGAATCGCTTCACATGGATCTTAGCCACGTTATTAGAGGTGAAATTAAAATATATTAGAAAAAGTAACATATCTTTTTAAAATAAAATTCATTTTAATAATTTACATATCAAATTAGATTAACATATGTAAACATAATGATCACCATTATTAAAAAGTGACTAACTTGGATCTTCCAATCCATTTGTTGATATTATGCCACATCTTCATTTTGTGTGATTAATGGTCTAAATTACGCTAAAGCTAAATGTGTGTATCAATTTCCGACCACACTATCAACTTAGTACTTAACTGGAGAACACAAGCAGAATAGGTTAAGCCCAAACAACCTGTCACAGATAGATAAGAATCCCACGGTGGTTCGTCCACCCGGGGGCACTCCGACGATCAAGTCAGTAAAATATCTCTCAAAGATAACCAATAGTGCTAATCTCAATGTTCAGAATATAAAATTACGTACCTTAGACCCATGGGAGTGCCTCTCTTTTATAGTCAACTCAATCCTAGTCCTAATAGAAGCCTAGCTTCCATGGACTTTTAGCTCAATGTTCATCCTGGACTCTCCAATGGATAAAGATAAACTCTCTAAGAGCTTTATCCTTATCTAAGCTGAGATCCTTCTTCATTCTAGGACTCTTGTGCCCTATCCGCTTATCTCGGATTCCGATATCTTCGGAGGTAACCTCGGCCTAGCCGAGATAACCTCAGTATCACGACCGAGACACGTGGCACCTCGGCTGACACGTCGCGTCACCTTGGCCACGTGTTGATACTCAGAGAATATATCTCCATAACTGCCCCCTAGGTTCTATTACTTCGGCAATCTGAGGTGATGGAACCTATACCAGAACTTCCTTCCAGTACGTCGGCTTAAAATTTCTTTAACCGAGATCATCATACAAGCCGACATGTCTTTTTTAAAGAACATGAATTTCAAGAGCTCCTTCACGCGTATGAGCTGTCGTGCACAATAACTCAACCGTTTTAGTCACGTGTCTTCCCCTTACTGGATCATACTTGATACGCATTTGTAAATCATCTCATGCCTGCGTGCGTCGTCTGACACATACGTTGTTTTAGGCTCATTAATTACCTTTTTGCCGCTGTTTCGAGTTTTGACAAAACTTCTTTCTCCTTTCGTCTTTTCACTTTACATCGTCTTTGGTCAAACTTTTTCTCTCTCTTGCTTTCTCTAATCCTCCATTGTTCCAAGCTCTGAAGTTCTGCTGCCACCGCTGTTTCATCTCTTTCGGCGAGGCTCTTTTTCTGCTGCCGCCGTTCGTCTGACTTCGGCGATCTCAACACCGGCTTCCCCTCTTCGGTGAGTTATTGTTTCCTCCCAATTTAACTTCTCGTTTCAGTTTTTGATGGTATCTTGAATCTCTGTCATTTTTGCGAACTTGCTTATGACCTTGATTAGTTTAATCTGTTCATGTATCTGAGTATGGTTGCCCCGCGATTCTGTTTTTGCCCAATCTTTTCTTGAGTATTCACAACCTGCACACACATTTGTTCACTTTTGCCACTGTTCTTGTCCTTGTACCCTTGCACACTCGTCTTTGTTCAAACTTTTTCTCTCTCTTGCTTTCTCTAATCCTCCATTGTTCCAAGCTCTGAAGCTCTGCTGCCACCGCTGTTTCACCTCTTCCGGCGAGGCTCTTTTTCTGCTGCCGCCGTTCGTCTGACTTCGGCGATCTCAACACCGGCTTCCCCTCTTCGATGAGTTATTGTTTCCTCCCGATTTAACTTCTCGTTTTAGTTTTTTTGTTTTGCTTTTCTGAACTCTACTGCTTTGCTACTGCAATCTTGTTCATATCTTTGATATTTCAATCTATATCTTGTTTTCCACCACATGTTTGTTTCATGATCTGTTTTTTGCCCCATTCGTTTCTTGAATACACATTATTCACATACTTATTGATTGTTGCCACTGTTCTTGGCCTGACACACCTATGAAGATTTTTACCTTGTGTTTCTTGATGACCCATTACTATTCTTGACTCTGAATCGCATTCCTGTTTCTGTTTGCCGTGTTTTTTTCCAGATTCATGCCTTCAATCCTCATCTCTATAGATATAAGTCTGGGATTTGTTTGCTGAACCCACAAATCGTAGGAAAAACTGAAACGACTCCCCATAGATTCTGTGTATTTTTAGATTTTAGCCGAGGTCCCTAAAACCCTTTCAAAATACTTCATTCTGAAATCCAGCTCCTCCAGTTAAGTTGATATCATGGGAATGTGGAAGCATAGAGTAGACACCCTGACAAAATTAGAATACTTTAGGCGAGAATTTTCCATCTCTGTCGACGTCCATCTGAGGTTGGCTGGGGAGGATGACTCCATCATGCCTACAACTGATTCTATGACTTTCCCTGTTGTAGCCTTTGTCGAGTGTGGACTTAGGCTCCCATTCAACATTTTTTTTCGACAAGTCCTCCATTACTATAAGTTGAACCCGATGCAGCTCGCCATCAATTCCTACCAAGTCATAAATGGTATAATAGCCTTAGCCCGACAAGAGAATGCTAGGGTTACCTTAGCCGACATCCAATACTGTTATACTATGTGTGGCTTTTCATTGAAAGAGAAAGGTTATATTTACTACCTCAAGTCAAGGTCTACAGAGTATAAAATCGTGGCCGACCTCCCAGACTCCAACAAGGGAGCCGGGGATGATTACTTCATTTCCTCGGGGAACTGGGAGTTCGCTCCAGACGAGGACCTCCACCTCTACCCTCTTCCTTGAGTAGTTTTTATAGAGGGTAACGGTAAGAACCCAGTATTTATGCTTACTTGTTTTTTAAAGTCTTTAATACTTTGTTCTAATGTCTCTGCTATTCTTTTTGCAGTTCTTCCTCAACCGCCAAAGGGCTTCTGCCAGTCTTTCTTTCCCAGCAAAGACTTGAAGAAACTACTGGATCTGCCAGTCCACAAGAGAAGAGCCCTTTTGGTACTCAATTTCATTCCTACCTATAAGTCTGTTCTTCCCGACGTTCCAAAGAAGAAGAAGAAGAAGAGTCTATCTCCTCCTTTCGCCACAACTCCCCAAGCTGCCTCCTCATCTCAGCCAGATCAAGGTTCGACTTCTGATCCAGCAGAGCAGCCGTCAACTTCGGCTCCATATCTGATCCCAATATCCCAAGGCCAACGCCGGCGACGAACGGTTTTTGCTGCCGAAATGGGCCGTTAGAAAGCAGTTGCAAAGGACCTCTTGGCTAATATTCCTGACAAAGTTAGTGACCAGCCAGCACAAACCCAGCCTCTAAAGCCAAAACAAAAAAGAATTAAGAAGGCTCAGCCAAAGGCAAAGGTGACTCAGATTGACACTGAGGACAGCTTGTCAATCTCCAAATTGGCTGAGAGTGATAAGTCCAATTATGCCGCTGAAAAGAGGCCTGCCGAGACCTAACCATCCGAGTCTGCTAGATCAAAGATGCCGAGGTCATCCTCTGCAACCACCTCGGGATCTTTGAAGCATGATTCCCACTGGGCCCCCCAGATCACATTAGAGGACAGGCCAGTCAGAGCCGGCGATAGCACCGACGATGTTAATGTCGGCGTCGCCCTTAGTACCGCTCTGCTTCTTCCATGCAATCTCAACCGGAACGCCAGTATGAGCGAGTATGAAAATTTTGCCCTGATGCTCCAGCACTCTGTTCAAGTAAGTCTTCATACTTGGTATCTTTCTGTCTTTTTTTTGTACTTAGAAAATTTTCTAATAACTTCTGCTCTGTTCACTTTCAGGCCATCTAGTATGCTCATTCTTTCTCAATGCAAGCTTTTGAGAATCGGAAGGAGCTGACCGACAAGAAGAGGGAGGCTGCTAGTCTACAAAAGACTAATAAAAACTTGCAATCAAAGATTAAGACCTTGGAGGATCAAGCCGAGGCTGCTATCAATGCTAAGGATGATGCCGAGGAAAAAGCAGAATCCACTGAGGCCATTAAGAAGATTCTCGAGGCCGAAAAGAGAGAGGCCGAGGAAAAGATTACCCAGGCCCAGAAGGAACTTCAAGAAGCTCTGGCCACAAAAGAGGCCGAAGTCAAGGCTGCCGACGAGAAGGGATACAATGAGGGGGTGGCCGACGTTACGGTGGATTACGAGAAACAAGTAAAGTAGGCATGCAACAAGGGTTTCACCCTTGGTTGGATGACTTTACTTAAAAAGCTCGAAATCCCTAATGACTCCCCCCTCAAGAATACCGACGTCCTTCCTCTGCCATTCTCTCCGACTCTAAGCCAATCCGACGACGACTCTAAATCTGAGGAGGAGGTTTTGGTGAGGAAGCCAAAAGACGCTACTGGGGCCAAGTCCCCTTTTCAAAATGAGCAAGTCCTGGACTTGACTCAGGATGAGGAGGGTGCGGAGGTTCCCATAGATGATGCACCTCAAAAGGCGATATCGGACGTGCCTATTGCCGACAAGATCCTTGATCAAACCCTGCAGGAAATAGACGCCGAGCTCGTGGCTGAGAAGGCTGCCGAGGCATCCTCCCAACAATCTTATAATCTTCAAATCCAACCATCTGTTGTTGCTGAAGAGTCTTAATTTTGATGTCCCTTTCCTTTATATTTTTGTACTTTGCTTTTTGGTTTTCATTTGAAACAATGTAAGCTCTTCACATGGCCGATGTGCCTTCTTATAAATACAACTTCTTTGTTTTTGCTTGCATATTTGTCTTTCCTTCGCTCCTTTTGTATGATTACATACTTCAAGATATTTTGCATATCTTCAATGCACACCTTAGTCTTGTGCCACCTTCTCGGGGTAACATACCTTGGTTATACAAGCCAATGGTATATCTCGGCAAGTACATAAGTACCTTTCTTGGTATGGTCTTGGTCTCAACTTGTAAACTTTTCTCAAGTTTCAACAAGTGTTAAACATGATATCGGTTTAACTTTAACTTGTAAACTTTTCTCACATTTAAACAAGTGTTAAACATGGTCTCGGCTTAACTTCAACTTGTAAACTTTTCTCAAGTTTCAACAAGTATTATCTCGGTTAATCTTCAACTTGTAAACTTTTCTCAAGTTTTAACAAGTATTATCTCGGTTAATCTTCAACTTGTAAATTTTTCACAAATTTCAACAAGTGTTAGACATAGCTGTAGTTTAACTTCAACTTGTAAATTTTTTACAAATTTCAACAAGTGTTAAACATAGTCTCGGTTTAACTTCAACTTGTAAATTTTTCTCAAATTTCAACAAGTGTTAAACATTATCTCGGCTAACTTCAACTTGTAAATTTTTCAAAAATTTCAACAAGTGTTAGATGTATCCATAGTTTAACTTCAACTTGTAAATTTTTCACAAATTTCAACAAGTGTTAAAAACCAGTTTCCAACTCTCTACCCCCTAATGTGAACTTTAAGTTCCACTTGGGTTCTCATTATGCATGCATTCCAGAAACATCATCAATTATCCTATCAGTCACAAATGTGAAAAATCAAGCTTTATTTATTACTTCGGATAATAACAAAGAACAAGAAAATTTAATGATAAAAAAACTTAAGAGAATACCGACGTCCTTCCTCTGCCATTCTCTCCGACTCTAAGCCAATCCGACGACGACTCTAAATCTGAGGAGGAGGTTTTGGTGAGGAAGCCAAAAGACGCTACTGGGGCCAAGTCCCCTTTTCAAAATGAGCAAGTCCTGGACTTGACTCAGGATGAGGAGGGTGCGGAGGTTCCCATAGATGATGCACCTCAAAAGGCGATATCGGACGTGCCTATTGCCGACAAGATCCTTGATCAAACCCTGCAGGAAATAGACGCCGAGCTCGTGGCTGAGAAGGCTGCCGAGGCATCCTCCCAACAATCTTATAATCTTCAAATCCAACCATCTGTTGTTGCTGAAGAGTCTTAATTTTGATGTCCCTTTCCTTTATATTTTTGTACTTTGCTTTTTGGTTTTCCTTTGAAACAATGTAAGCTCTTCACATGGCCGATGTGCCTTCTTATAAATATAACTTCTTTGTTTTTGCTTGCATATTTGTCTTTCCTTCGCTCCTTTTGTATGATCCCATACTTCAAGATATTTTGCATATCTTCAATGCACACCTTAGTCTTGTGCCACCTTCTCGGGGTGACATACCTTGGTTATACAAGCCAATGGTGTATCTCGGCAAGTACATAAGTACCTTTCTTGGTAGGGTCTTGGTCTCAACTTGTAAACTTTTCTCAAGTTTCAACAAGTGTTAAACATGATATCGGTTTAACTTTAACTTGTAAACTTCTCTCACATTTAAACAAGTGTTAAACATGGTCTCGGCTTAATTTCAACTTGTAAACTTTTCTCAAGTTTCAACAAGTATTATCTCAGTTAATCTTCAACTTGTAAACTTTTCTCAAGTTTTAACAAGTATTATCTCGGTTAATCTTCAACTTGTAAATTTTCACAAATTTCAACAAGTGTTAGACATAGCTGTAGTTTAACTTCAACTTGTAAATTTTTTACAAATTTCAACAAGTGTTAAACATAATCTCAGTTTAACTTTAACTTGTAAATTTTTCTCAAATTTCAACAAGTGTTAAACATTATCTCGGCTAACTTCAACTTGTAAATTTTTCAAAAATTTCAACAAGTGTTAGACGTATCCATAGTTTAACTTCAACTTGTAAATTTTTCACAAATTTTAACAAGTGTTAAACATAATCTCGGTTTAACTTTAACTTATAAATTTTTTACAAATTTCAACAAGTGTTAAACATTATATCGGCTAACTTCAACTTATAAATTTTTTACAAATTTCAACAAGTGTTAGATGTATCCATAGTTTTACTTTAACTTGTAAATTTTTCACAAATTTCAACAAGTGTTAAATCTTATCTCGACTAACTTCAACTTGTAAATTTTTCACAAATTTCAACAAGTGTTAGACGTATCCATAGTTTAACTTCAACTTGTAAATTTTTCATAAATTTCAACAATTGTTAAACATAATCTCAGTTTAACTTCAACTTGTAAATTTTTTACAAATTTCAACAAGTGTTAAACATTATCTCGGCTAACTTCAACTTGTAAATTTTTCACAAATTTCAACAAGTGTTAAACGTATCTATTTTCCAACGCTCTGCCCCCTAATGTGAATTTAAGTTCCACTCGGATTCTCATTATGCATGTATTTCAGAAACGTCGGCAAGTATCTTATCAATCATAAATGTAGAAGAATTCTGCTAAAATTTTATTCGTTACTTTAGAAAAAACAAGGAAAATCTAATGATAAAAAAATTTCAGATTACAAGTATTTCAGGGTCTTGGCAATTCTTTGCCCTCATTATCTTCAAGCCGATATGCCTCATTGCCGAGTACTGAGATAATCTTATAGGGTCCCTCCCAATTTGGGCCAAGCTTGCCCTCTTTGGGATCCTTTTTGTTGCCGACGACCTTTCTCAAGACGAGGTCGCCGACTTGAAACTCCCTTGGGTTGACCTTTTTATTATAAGCTCTGGCAAGCTGCTGCTGGTAAGCTACCAGTTGAATTGCAGTTCTCTCCCTTCTTTCTTCTAGCAAATCCAGATCTCGGGCTAATAGTACATCATTAGTCCCATTCTCTACTCCCTGAATTCTAATCCTTAAGATGCTGACTTCTAGAGGAATGACTGCTTCTGTGCCATAAGCCATGGAAAATGGGGATTTCCCAATTGATCTTCTCGGCGTAGTCCGATATGCCCAGAGTACGCTTGGTAGTTCATTTACCCACTTCCCCTTTGCTGCTTGCAGCCTCTTCTTAATCCCATCCAAGATAACTTTGTTGGATGCTTCTGCTTGTCCATTGTTTTGAGGAAAGCTTGGGGTTGAAAAATAATTCTTAATTTTGAATTTTGCACAGAAGTTCTTAATTAGCTTACTGTCAAATTGTGTTCCATTGCCGGCAACTATTGCTCTTGGAATCCCTAATCTAGTGATGATGTTTCTCCATATGAAGTTCTTCACGTCCACATCTCGGATCTTGGCCAAGGGCTCAGCTTTTATCCATTTGGTGAAGTAATCTGTTGCTACCAGTAGGTACTTCCTTTGCCCAGTTGCTTCCAACAAGATCTATGCCCCATTGGGCAAACGGCCAAGGACTGGTTGCAGGGTTTAGGTCTGCTGCTGGTTGGTGTATTAAAAGGTATAAACCTTTGACACTTTTCACAATTCTTGACATAGGCCTCTGTATCCTTCTGCATGTAGGGCCACCAATACCCCTGGGTGATGGCCCTATTAGCTAGTGATCTGCCCCCAGAGTGGCTTCCACAAATTCCTTCATATATTTCATATGAAAAATCTTCGACTTATGAAGGATGTACACACCTTAAAAGAGGTCCGGTGAAGGATCTTCTGTAAAGATGCCCTTCTACTGTCAGACTGAATCTTGCCGACTTCAATCTGATCTTGTGTGCTTCTTTGTGATCATCTAGTAATTTTCCTTCTTTTAGGAATGCTACTATTGTATCCATCCGGCTTGGTCCCATGTCTACACACATTGCTTCGCGCTCTGTGATCGGTGGTTCAATGCTTGGGCCCGACAAGTATTCGACCATTATCGTCTTTCAGGTTGTATTGCACTAGCCAGGTTGGCCAGTGCATCGGCGTGACTGTTATCATCTCGGCTTACCTGATGTAGTCGGCAATTCTGAAACAAGGCTACCAACCTGTTGACTTCCTTTGCGTAGGCCGACATCCTTTTATCTCGGGTTGCAAACTCGCCCATTGTCTGGTTGACTATAAGCTGCGAATCACAAAAGACTATTACCTCATCTGCTTCTGCTGCTACTGTCAGCTTCAGTCCTGCAATCAATGCTTCATACTCTGCTTCATTGTTTGAGGCCTTAAACCCCAAATGAATGGATTGTTTCAATATCTGTCCATCTGGAGATACCAGAACTACTCTTGCTCCCGCTCCTTGTCGGTTTGAACTCCTATCAACAAACAGTCGGAAGGAGTCGTCGACGTAAATGCAGCAGGGTCTGAGTTTTTCTTCCTTCCTTTGTTCCATTGCCTTTGGCTGGGCTCCTCTTTGCTGGTTTGGACATCGTTCACGTCGGCTCAATGGAGCCCGATGTGTGATGGATTCAGGCGTGAACTCGGCCACGAAGTCGGCCAAAACTTGGCCTTTGATTGCTGTTCTGGGTCTAAACTCCAAGTCATACTGGCCCAAGGCCACTGCCCATCTGGCTATTCTCCCTGTCAGGTCTCCCTGCTGCAGCAGGGACTTCAATGGATGTTTAGTGAGCACCACAATTTTATGGGTTTGAAAGTAATAGTTCAGCTTCTTTGAAGCCATTACTAAGGCCAGCGCCAACTTTTCTAAGGGTAAATACCTAGTTTTTGCATCAGTCAGGGTTTTGCTTACATAGTAAACAACCATTTGTTTCCTTTTTTTCTTCTCGGATTACCACTGCACTTACCGCATGTTCTGAAACTGCCAGGTACAGGAATAGCTCCTCTCCAGGTTCTGGATTTGAAAGAACTGGAGCTGTGGTCAGATACTTCTTCAAATCGGCCAAGGCGGCTTCGCACTCCTCGGTCCATAAGAAGTCTGTGGCTTTCTTCACTAAGTTGAAGAAATGTTTGCACTTATCTGAGCTTCTACTTATGAACCTATTCAAGGCTGCGGCCCTTCCAGTCAGCATTTGTACCTGTTTTGCCGACGTCGGGCTCTTCAACTCCAGGATGGCCTTGATTTGATCTAGGCTGGCCTCAATGCCCCTTCTGGTCACTAAGTACCCTAAGAACTTACCAGATCCAACTCCAAATGCACACTTCGATGCATTAAGTCAGAGCCGATATGTTTTAAGGATTTCAAAGACTGCTTTTAGGTCGGCCAGATGACCCTCAGGTTCTTTGGTCTTCACGACCATGTCGTCGATGTAAACTTCTACCGTTCGGCCAATTAGGTGTCTGAACATCTTGGTTACCAATCTTTGGTAAGTTACTCCTGCGTTTTTCAACCCAAAGGGCATCACTCTGTAGCAATACATCAGCCAGGGTTTTGCTTACATAGTAAACAACCATTTGTTTCCCTTTTTTCTTCTCGGATTACCACTGCACTTACCGCATGTTCTGAAACTGCCAGGTACATGAATAGCTCCTCTCCAGGTTCTGGATTTGAAAGAACTGGAGCTGTGGTCAGATACTTCTTCAAGTCGGCCAAGGCAGCTTCGCACTCCTCGGTCCATAAGAAGTCTGTGGCTTTCTTCACTAAGTTGAAGAAATGTTTGCACTTATCTGAGCTTCTGCTTATGAACCTATTCAGGGCTGCGGCCCTTCCAGTCAGCATTTGTACCTGTTTTGTCGACGTCGGGCTCTTCAACTCCAGGATGGCCTTAATTTGATCTAGGCTGGTCTCAATGCCCCTTCTGGTCACCAAGTACCCTAAGAACTTACCAGATCCAACTCCAAATGCACACTTCGATGCATTAAGTCAGAGCCGATATGTTTTAAGGATTTCAAAGACTGCTTTTAGGTCGGCCAGATGACCCTCAGGTTCTTTGGTCTTCACGACCATGTTGTCGATGTAAACTTCTACCGTTCGGCCAATTAGGTGTCTGAACATCTTGGTTACCAATCTTTGGTAAGTTACTCCTGCGTTTTTCAACCCAAAGGGCATCACTCTGTAGCAATACAACCATTTTGGGGTGATAAATACGGTCTTCTCTTCATCTGGGGGGTACATGGCTATCTGGTGGTACCCCCTGTAGGCATCCAGGAAGCTCATCATTCCATGCCCTAAAGTGGCATCCACCAGCTGGTCAATCTTGGGTAAAGGAAAACTGTCTTTGGGACAGGCCTTGTTTAGGCTGGTAAAGCCAACGCAGACCCTCCATTTACCATTCTTTTTCTTCACCAGTACTGTGTTCGATAGTCATGTCGGGTAGTTT